AAATACAATCCGTGCCGGAAGTAAGATTTTATTTTTGAATGGGGATAGAAAAATCCTCAAATAAATTTGTTATATGAGTTTTGGCGCTGATAGAGTTTATGCGTCCAATCAGCTTTTATGCGTCCTATCACAAAAAATTTGATTTTCTTAGTATTGCAAAGTTAGGATATGGTTTCAAAACTTTTCTTCATGCTTAGGATCTACGCCCAATGGGGTTTCGATCATTCCTTGCCCGATCACTAGAAATTTTTAAAAGTTAGAATTGATTTCTGAAATTTTTAAAAATTGGCTAGAAGTTTCAGAAGTTTCAATATTGGGTAAGGAATGGTCCCAAACTAAATGGGCTAGGTACTTTTATTTTGGCAAATAACGAAACTTTCAATATGATCAGTAATGCAATTTTATACACAATATTTTTGAGGATTTTTTATCCCCATTCAAAAATAAATCCAATCTTGCGGAACGGATTTCTTTATTCTTTCACAAAATTAAATAATTATTTATATTTGAATTTTTAAATATGGAGTAAAAATCGACTATTTATAAAACCGATTTTCACCATATTGTCAACAATAGTTTGAGGATTTTCATATCCCCATTCAAAAATAATCTAATCCTTCCTGCTTGGAGAATGTATTCGATTTCTTTCACAAAACTAAATAATTATTTTTATTTGAATTTTTAAATATGGAGTAAATCCAACTATTTAGAAAACCGATTTTCACCATTTTGTCAACAACTAAATTAAAAACCCACACAAACAATCCAAGGAATCTGAGGCCATTGGTCCACAATATGGAACAAATAGAGCATTAGCAGAGTCAATGAAATAATAAATCCAAAAACAGAAACAAAAGTAGCACCTCCAACGCCCGCATAATAGGCAGGCCCTCCAATCAACACAGCCATGAAGCAAAGAAAATTGAAACAAATTACAATAATTTTTAATAGGCCGGGTAAAGTCTTCAAGTAGCTTGTGTCGAGCCAAGGGTTGCATTCTATATTCCCTCCGTCGTATAGAGGGCCGGAAGGTTGGATGTATCTTTGGCCTGTTGACGTTGTTGTGTAGACTCGGGTTTCTTCTTCGTACATTTTTTTGGGGATTTTTAAAATATTTTTCTGAAATTGTTAAAGATTTTAGGGGTGTGTTTATTAAACAGACAAAATAGGGACAAGATCTCGAACAATAGATATCAAGATTTGTTGAGATATCGATCTCGATTCAGGTACAACACTCCCAGTCAGATCTCCAGTTTATATAGGAACGTACCTACCCGGCAGATATTATATGAACAGATGGGTTTGGAAAATTACGGGTTCTGCCTATTTATAAAGCGAAAGGAAGGAGCCGAAGGTTTATAAAAAATATATCAAGCACCGGTTAACCGTATAGTCAATGAAGGCCTTGACAATCAAATATGACATCATTCACAATGAACCATTTGAATAGAAAAAGACTAGGGGTTTTCTAGGGTTTTCCGGGCCTCATTTTTATCGGGCCGGAACAATCGATCTTTTCCGTGCCAAAAATCAAAGCCCGATTGACCAGTTCTGCACACCTACAAGGTTGAATAATAACATACATATTTAGGGAGTATAACCCTCCCCATACAAAAATAAAAAGTCCAAAGTACATCTCTAACAATGAACAAAGGTAATTTACAGCTATTAATCGAAAATAATTAAATTTTTATATATTAAGTAAATTTGAATTTATTTAAGAATCATACATATAAAGCTTAATAAAAACAAAGAAGAAAAAAAAATTCGTAAAGTGTAACTATCCGAAAGAGGGAATCTTGTGAACACGTTCTTGTGAAATGAGCACGCCTTGTATGGAAACATACCAGGAGTGTGTCTTTTGCGTTCCGCATCGCCTATCATTTTTAGGATCTAGGGTTATAAAGTGAGTCAATGAAGGACTTAAACATTCCTATTAACAAAAGGAACAGAAAAAAAGTGTGTGTATTAAATCCTTGTTTCAAATAGATATTAAAAAAAATTTTTTAAGACAGGCAAGCATATCCAAACAAATCGATCTACATATCTCCAATTTATACCCTAAAGATCACAAATATTTTTAAAATGAAATTTTCTCTCACAGCTGTTCCCCAAAAACATTTAACCTTTATTTTTTCTCTTCCAATTTTTATTTTAAATTCCCAAAGCGATTTGTTCAATAAAAGTTCATCAGCTGTTCAATTTCTTCAAAAATTTATTCACCTTAGAATACTCACAACGTAAGAGAATTTTAAAAGAACACAATTTCGCCAAAACTTCAATCTGTCACAATTGACTTGGCCAAACGTTCATTGTCTTTTTTGAACGTTTATTGAAATTCCCCTAGTGATTTTTACTCCGCATCTATTAATTCAATTAAATCATATTTATTAAAATACTTGAACGTAATTTTTTCACATAAGGCTGTAACTTGTATCATTTATTTTTGAATGGGGGTGATAAACCCACAAAAAATATTTTTTACGATTTACTGAGTTGATATTTAACGCTGGCCTAAAAATGGCCAAAAGTTTAATAAAAGTTCAACAGCTGTTCAATTTCTTCCAAAATTATTTCCCTTTAAAATACCCACAAAGTAAGAGAATTTTAAAAGAACACAATTTCGCCAAAACTTCAATTTGTCACATTTCACTTGGTCAAAAGTTCACAATGGTAAAATATTCATTTGGGTCAAAAATTTATCTTTGTCAAAAGTTTGATGAAAGAGATGTATAGCTTTTATCATTTATTAAATTTTCTAATTAATTCTACTCCATATTTATTAATTCAATTAAATAATTATTAAAACTCTTGAAAGAAAACAGTTATATGCATGGTAAATAATTTTGTTCAACACTTATTTTTGAATGGGGGTTATAAATCCTCAAAAAATTCTTTAGCTTTGTTGAAGATCCCTGATTAATTTTACTCCGCATTTATTAATTCAATTAAATAATTTTAAAATTCTTAAAAGACAATTTTATTGTTACGGTTTCTCCAACGTGGATCTTATTATTTTTGAATGGGGGTTAAAACCCTCAAAAATATTATTCTGCATTCTAGGAATAAAATAAACATATTATATTATATGTATTGGTCATTCGCGTAAAAATGTTCAAAAGTTTATTTTGGCGAAGTCATTTTTGTCAAATTTTAGCACTCAATGTTTCTCCAATCTAATAAATTTGATAATAATAATCATCATTCCTTTCAGTCTTTCCAAAAGAAAAATTTTCAAAAAAATTTTAGCTACTGTTCAAGAGTATTTTATAGTTTTTTAAAGTTTCTTTCGTTAAATTTGCTCTGTATTTATTAATTCAATTATATGTATATTTATTAAAAAAAATTATTTGTTAAAAATTCAAAAAAAAAATAAATTTAAGTGCCACATTTTACAATTTTAAAATTATTATAAACACTTGAGAAAAAAATTTTTTTCAAAAAGATTTTTGGCATTCCTTTGCATAACAATAAATAAATAGACCAAACAATTTCCGTTGGTTAAAAGCTTTTTTTTTATTTTATTGGCACGTCTATTAAAAATTTTATTTTATTTTTTTTCTTCAATTTTCGCCCTTAAAGCATTAAAAATTAAAAAATTGTTTAGAAAAGGTGAGGGTGGGCAATGGAATTTTTTCTGGAGGATTAGGATCTATCCCTGTGAAGAGAACATCTCCGAAGGGAGAATATACCTCAAAAGAGAACATGTTCTCCGAACGGATACACCCTTTCGAAAGGAACAGAGCCCCCTCGTACGAGGGACAGACCCCCCTTCGAGAGAGAGAGAGATTCCCTTCGTATGGGTATGTTCCTTAAAGGAAACGGTAACCTCCGATTTGACTGGAATATACCACTCCGCAAGAAGCTTACCGATGTGACCTCTTGAAGGTTTCCATATCAGAGTTGGAAACGAAGGTGCCCAAATTGTAGATTTTCGGAAATCAGAATTCCGATCCTCCTCCGTCCCATACCCCTGTGAAGTGAATATTCCCTCCTAAGTGACCATCCCTTTCTTTAATATAAAGACGCCGATATGATCATATTTAAATTCACTACAATTAATTTGTATTTGGGTGAATTTGTTAATTTGGGGGTCATCTTGGCGCAGACCCAAAAAATTAAAGACAAAAATTTTTTTGGTTTTTTGGCCCATTCTTTCCAAAAATAACTTTTTCCTTTTAAAATCCATTAATAAATTGAATTGACTTTTATTTGGGGCGAAAGGGAGGAAAGAACTTTTTTTGGAATTTCCTTCAACTTATTTTAGTGGGGAAAGTATTGGCACCTTTTAGCGGTGAAATGCTTATTTTAGATAATTTTTATTTTAAATTTGTTTAACTGGAAAAACGTTTTTTGCTCAATATTTTAAGGCCTATTGCCAAAAGTTAAAGTAAAAACAAAAGTCATTTCCTTTGTCAATGTAAGAAATGTTCCCTTCGGACGGGAAATGTTCCATTCGGAGGGAAATGTTCCCTTCGGACGGGAGATGTTCCATTCGAAGGGAACTTGCGAAGAAGACACTCCGAAAGGGAAGAGGTATCCTCCAAAGGCAACCTAGTTTCTTTTTTTCCTTAATTTTGAACTATATTATGATGTATGGAGGAAATGACTATCGCTCAAGATTACATAGGAAATGACTTTGTTCCCTTCGGATAGGAGTACCCTCGAAGGGAACCTAAAGTTCTCCCCCAATACTAATGCACATTAACACTACAAAAAATGTGTTTTCTTTCGTAATAAAATATATGCTGAGTTCAAAAATCTGGGTAAAAATGTTTAAAATAGTCAACTAGACTTTTTGATACTAAAAAATTAATTTACTTAAACGGAACCGAACCTACAACTTGTAAACATAGTTAGTAGGGTTTTCAAAATGGACCGATTCGGACCTAAAGATCGAGTCAAGCCTAAGATATTTGGCCCGTAAAAGATATACGGCCCGACTCGATAAGAATTAGGCTCAAAAGTGATTAATATTAAAATAAATATTAAGTAAAATAATGTTCTCCAACAAAAATTTGCTTCAAAATTCTCTCATTTTGATTACTGTATTTTCTCTCATTTTAAAATTAAATTGTCAAAATGAAATTAATGAACAACCTCAAGTTTTGACAGATGTAAGAATATTTTTAATTAATTTTTAAACTTTTTTTAAATTTTTAGACTGAAGATTTCTATGCAGTTGATGAGAAAAGAGTCCCTCATCCAGGGTAGGTTCAAATTTATGTTTAAATAAAGCCATATCCTGTTTGAGATACGCTCATTATAAGAGACTTTTTCAACGATAGGACCTCTCTCTTAGAAGTTGGCACGCAGTTTAGTTTACCTTCATTTTAGATGGGTCCCTATGGGTGGGGAGCGTCTGAGCAAGAGCCTATTAACATCTCGGTAGAGTTACGAGCTTTTTGGACTCATGGAGTATAACCATAATTAAAAAGGCTGTTTTTATTATAATAGCCAGGAACCTTTCGGATGTGTCCAACTCCGAAGGAAAGGATCCTTCAGATACTTCCCAAGGCTGAGGGTCTTCCGAAGGGAACATTCATTCCAAAATAATCCCTGATTAACATAAAATTATTTAGAAGCTTGGCGTCAACAAGGACGAATAAGAAGGTTTTAAAGTAAAAATATACTTTTCAGAAAAAATTTTTCCAATAGTTTCTACTCCCCAACAATACCAGATTTCAACACTCCATATAGTCGCTTCACAAAATATGGGGCACATAGGCCTATGTTTATCAGATACATGCGCAGCTTTTCGGCATAAACAAAGAAGGGATTTAATAATTAATTTTAAAAAAATTTAATAAAAATTCTACTTAATATATTAAATTTAAAATATGTATGAATTTATAAAAATAATTAAATGACTTATTAATTTGTTGGTTCTTTCAAAACGGATGAATTTTTGGGCCGGGGGTCTTTTAGACCTCCTCAAAATGTAATAATTAGACTAATACAAAATTAAGTGGAAACGACTTGTGATTATTCTCTAAAAGAATGCCTGAAAGAATGGAATCTCTAAAAGAATGCCCGAGCTTTCTATTTTTCGACCACCTTCAGATTTGTGATTGAAATATTAGAGGAGGAGGGGGCATTGTATTTTTCAAGCATCCTCCATTAGATCGGACAAAACATATTTGATTAAATTTTAGAATATTTGATTTGGTTTAATCAAATAGTTGTTTGAAAACTTTTGGAAAAAATCAGATATTTTCAATAATATTTGATTTCGCCGTTTGTGTAATCTCTATTCGCCATAGGCGCATTCAATTAGCGGGGGCATTCAAATAGTCATTCCAATTATTTAATTAATTTTAATAATTAATTCTACTTTTACATACTCCAGTTTGTCAGTGGAAAATTATTTGAGGGTTCCGAACCCTCATCCAAAAACATAATATCATCGTGTATGAATTGCAAAAAATATTATATTCCACAGAATCAAATAGTTATTTATTTGAATTTTCATATACGGAGTAAAAATAAATTTATTTTATGTCACTTGCATAATTGACTATCCCAATTGGAACATCTTACTTAATAAAAAGGGTTATTTATAAAATTCACTTATCAACTGATAAAATATATTTAACCCAAATTTAATAAAATAACAAAATATTCTGATTTTTAAAATTTTGTAATTTATTTTGGAGACGTTAGTGCATGAGTACCTCGAAAGTTTACTTGTACTTATTTATCTACCTAATAAAGCTAGCCTTGTGAAATTTTGTACATGCCTTCAGGACAGTCTTAGCTACATTTTCTGAAAATTTGAGAATTTTCGGTCCACTGGTTCCAAAGCTATGGCCAAAAAAGCAGCTAAAAAGTGGATAATTCTGATTCTTTTAATCATAAATTCTGAAATTTCAAACAAAAATTCTGAAATTTTTAATTTTGATAAGTAAGACTATCCACGACATTGCTACAAAATTTCAAGAATCTACGCCTTCTTTTGAGTATTTTACAGCGGGGTACATTTCGTCCCAACTGCAATAACGTCCCCTTTAACACAGTTAAATTTTGCTCTCTTTTTCCTCATTTTCTGAATTTTTTGGAATTTTTAGTGTATTAATTATTGTATTCCTTCTTGTTTCTTCATTAGTATCAGAATTATCAGTGGTAGAAATTTGACTTAAACGCAGGTCGGGTTGTGACATTCTTCGAGTTAGTGGAGAAAAATTTGATATACTGTCTTTCTTAACGTCGTAGCAAGTTATTTTCTGTATTAAAAAGGATTTATAAGGCTATTTAACTCATTTAAAGTATTAAGAACAGATCTAGTTTTATAAGGAGGGCCTATGGACTTTAACAAGGCCATATAAGAATCTAAGGATATTTATAAGGAACTTTAGGGCATAATGACGGTAATTTTCCGTTATATAACCCACCCCGCTCCATTTAAGGATATGGAATAACGGATTCGATAAATAGTTCAAGAATTTTAATGTCTTACGTTTCTCACATTGACGTTAAGCTTATTATCAGTTTTACTACGATTTGAGGTCCTTCTAGCGGTATTTATTACTGATATTGAGGGTTGTTGTTGATTTAATTGAACTTTGGTTATTAAAATATCCATGTAATCATCCTTAAAAATTTAAAAATTAGGCGAATAAGCGAAAAAAAATTTCTGAAAAAATTTTTAAAAAATTTTCAAAAATTTTCTGAAGAATTTTTTGAAAATTTTAAAATATTTCTAAAATTTCTGAAAAATTTTTTTTGATTCTCTCAAAATTCTCGTTTCAAACCCTACCTTAATATCATCATTATTTTCTCTCCTTTCACTTCCTTCAGATTGTACTCTTTTAAGTTCATCAACCTTTCTGTCCAACAAACGAGAAAACATTGTGTACAAGGCTTCCATGTTGTCTTGACTGGCCATATACTTGAATAATATAATTTAGATTTCGATTTTTATATATCAGAAGAAACCAGAATTTTTAAAACTTAAATTTTAAAATTATCAGAATTTTTGGGGAAATGTCCGATTTTCATAGTGCGTGACCTCTACGTTTCAAAAATTCATAACTTTATGAAAGTTAAAGGTATCTTTATATTTTAAAGTGTTAAAATATACTATGAAGTGTGCTCTATTTAATAAAAATAATTTCAGAAAAATTAATTTAGATAAAGAGAAAGATATACGCAATGGACTAGGTCTACCCCTAAGTTTGACTATTTTTAAAAATCTACAACTTACTAAAACTTGGAGTATTTATTATTTTTTAAAGCTTATTATATACAAAATAGGCCGCTCTATTTGATAAAAATATCCGAAAAAATATTCAGTAAAAAATATACCTGATCAATCTCTCTCTTCATTGTATTACTCCTTGAAATTGTGCTCCCATTAATTGTTTCCATATAAGCAGAAGCTATTGACTGACTATGAGGTCTACTTGCTTGTCTAAAATGAATCAGAATCAGTAAATCATTTATTTCTTTCAATTATTTTTTAAGTAGTATTGCCAATTGTTACAGTCTCATCCCCTCGAACATGCGAATAAGTACATATCCCGGTGGGAACGTCACCTGGGATAAATTATTCTAGCTAATAATACCCAGGCATTGTATTTTCATAACCACATTAAGTCAATTTCCAGTAGAGAGGGATGAAGTGACACTCATGGGGTTGTTTGAGAGAATATGGTATTTTAAGAGATAATTTTAAGATAGGTATTACTTGGTCATTTTCCTTCCAACCTGAGCAATTTTGACAGCCTCAGTTAGCTAAAAAATGAAGAAAAAATTTTTTGAGTCATCTACATAATATTCAGACTTACAGTAATTTTATTATAGGCCCTAACAATGTCACTAGCATCAAAAGCTTTGCGTTTAACATGCCTCATTAGTAAAGGCTTAATAAGCTTTGCATTGAATCTCTCAAAAGAATCTCTAAAAAAGTGTCGGCCTCTTTGCCCGATAATATCCTCAATCCCAGCCATTGTGTAATCAAAGTATTTGTTGTAAACCTTTAAAAATAGATTTTTGAGTTGGATATCCTTTTCAAAATTATCGCTAAGATCCGTTTAAGTACGATTTTTAAGAAGTTCCATATGAAATGTTCCATTCACAGAGCCACTATTAGGATGTTCCCTACACACTAGTAGTATGTTCCTTACAGACTAGTAGCTGTTCCCTCCAAATAAAATTTTTAAGTAACTTTAGATACCCTCTACTTAATATATAAAATTCTAATTAATAAATGCTTAAGAATAAACAAAGTGAATTAATTTAGATCTATCGTTTTAATATAGGAATTTTTGGAACGGGGGTGATGCGCACACCCCTACAAAATTTAAATTTTTTCTCAAGTTTGCCACAAACTATTTTACATAATTCTGTATCGTGTATTTACCTTCTCGACCATCATTGCTTCATAATCAAGATCAGCCTTTTCCACTTTTAATAGAAACAGTAACGGTCTAATGGTTATACCCATTAAGAAGACAGTAAAGAAGATCACAGCAATGCTATAAATTTAAGCTAAATGTGACTATAATTGGAGAGGGCCTCAAAAAGGAAGACAATACAGTTCTCACCCTTTCACCCAGAGTTTTCTAACAGCCTCTCTAATAGAAAGGCATATCTTAGATTTTTATCAGTAGTGTTCCCTACGAACGAGGCCCTCTACGACATGCCCTCCTCCTCCTATCATTAAGGCACGTTCCCCTTTCCAAATTTTAATTTTTTACTTACCAAGTAGTCACAAACATTCTTTTAGCCTATAAAAACTTGGTTCATTTTATCTAATTTTAATTTAAACTTGAATATCTGCAGGTAAGGATACTACAAGACCAAAAGCAATAGCTCCTCGAAGACCGCCATAACACAACACAAATTGATCTCTCAAAGAAAATTTCTTGTTCCTTACTCGATTTAATACAGAACATTGAACTATTACACCTTTAAAAATATATTGTAAGAGAAAAGTGGGTTAATAGTGGAAGTTATTTTATGGCATATGTTCTCTTCGAATGAGGACAACTCCGAAGGGAACATTTTTGCCCTTGTTCCCTTTAAAAGAGGGGAGAAGGAATGTTCCCTTCGAAGGGAACATTCTCTCATACAGGTCTCCTTGTGACAATGACCCCCAAAGAGGGAGATTGCACCTATCGATGTCTATCTATGTTCAATGTTCCCTCCGAAGGGAACATTCCTCCTACTCTTTAAATAAAACATACCAATAGTTCTATAAAATAAACACAAAAATATTGTAACAAAAACAAAAGAAGTATCCCATTGATGAATGCTAGAAATTGTAGATAATCCAAGAAACATAAAGATAACAGTTTCACTACATTGAGCAAGCATTTTGATAAAATATTTAACTGAATTGTTTGCATCATGGCTCATATTGCCTTTAACATATTGCTTCATCATTATGCCACAAGCTACTATTCTGTAGGAGTATTTGAAAGATTTTTAACTGATTATAAGGTTGCGGGATAATTTATTCACCTGGAGGTTTTAAATTACACTTGAAGGGCAATGTTCCCTACGAACGGGACCCCTCCGAAGGGAACATTTTATAAATCGGTGAATTGTATTTTCGGTGAAAGATCAATTTAATTATCTATAGAGTTGGAGAATATTTTGTTTTCCGGATGCTTCATATCCGGTATGTTTATTTTCCGGAATGTTCCCTACGAACTAGACCCACTCCGAAGGGAACATTTTTCCAATCGGTGAATTGTATTTCCGTATAAGGTCAATTTAGTCTTAAGGAAGGTTCCATTTTCCAAAAAATAAAACTTCCTTATCTAAATTTAAAAAAATTTTACGCTAATATAGATGAGAATCCAAACATTTCAGCCGAAAGATAGGCTAAATATGGAACAACAAAAACAAATACAGGTGCAAGAATCTTGACTCGACTTGTGAATCTGTTAAGAAAATTTTAATTGAATTTTTTTTGACATTTTGAAATTTTGAAATTTCGAAATTTCGACATTTTGACATTTTGAATTTTCGACATTTTGAAAAGTTAACATTATGACATTTTTAATCCCTAATTTTGTTTATTTAAATTACCTCTTTATTCACCTCGTCAGTATAGAAACGAAGAAAGCAAAGAAAAGTCCAATTAAAGTACCCCCTAATGCTATCACAACAAAAGAAAATATTCCAGCAATGTAGTCAAAAACTGCAAGATTGTTAACACCAATAAGAGTAAATTTGCGGAACATTTGATAAAGTACCTTTTGGATTTGAATTGTATTTATGAGATTTTTTGAGGGTTTATTAAGAGTAATGTAGGAAGATTTGTGTCTAACAGAGATGCCTACGACACTCAATGTCGTGAGGCTTTGCTAAAATAGAAAACACCGATAATCCATTACAGTACACCTTACCATTTTATGAGGATTGGCGCCGAATCCTCGTCCCAAAAATTGAACTAAACTTATTACATAAAATTTAAACCAGCCTGGATGGAACTTGATTTAAATAAAAGTTTAATTCAATTTTTAAGTATTAAGTAAAACGGAAAAAATTAAAAATAATTTTTGTGCAGGTATTTATTTAAAATGCCTCATCCTATTGAAAGGAACAATGGAAATCCAGATGGCTATTATAAGAGCGCTTAATAGAGATGGAGTTAAAAGATATTAAATATGAAAGATAAGAAGGGCCCCATAGCTGTTAGCATTTACTACATCCCAAATTAATTTAAGATATTTTCGATAACAATTTGATTAAATTGTCTGTTCATTGGGAAGGTTTGGGACAAGATTCATAGGGGCAACCTTAGACTTAATAAAACCACTCTTGATGTCCCATGCTCGATGATGAAAGGCATCAAAAGACGTGTAGGGAAAGCTAGATATAGGGCTTTTGTGGATGGCAGTCCCAACCATTTTAGCTTCTCTCGGCCTTGTCAATGCTCTTGATCCGAGTTTAGATCTAGATTAAGACGATGGTTAGCCAATTAACTATCTTAAAGGGATTCAGGTGAATCCCCGTCCCAAAAATTATCCTATTTTTGAATGAGAGTTTTCACTGTCATATTCAATTTTACTTAACTTAAGGGATTCATTATTATAATTTTTATATATTAAGCAGAAAATTAAATTATATCTAAACTATAACCTTAAAAATAACTAAAAATCTTCAGCTCTGGAACCGGTTGTTTTCGGGACGGATTTGTTTGGAATAAAAGGAGTTGGAAGATTAAGAGAGATATCAGAGATTTGGTAGCATTAAAAATAATATTGATGGATTTTGAGGATAAAAAGGAGATCAGTGATTAAGATAGACATAATTGGATCTGGTTGGATTAAGAGAGATTAAGAGGATTAATAGTGATGTCCAACAGGTCAGATCACTTTTAGCGTCGTAGGCGTAAATTTTATTATTTTTGGAGGTGGCCCAAGAGCACTTACCCCATATTTAATTGAATTTAAGAATTTTCTACTTACCACGCTAACACCATCATTAAACAAAGCTTCCCCAAAAACATTAATAAAAAGGAACTCATTAACATGTATTTCCTCAAAAACAGCAATAACAGCAACAGGATCAACCGCACTAATTAAAGAAGCAAACAATAAAATTTCAAAATTGGAGAAGGCAACAGAAAATAAATTTAATTGGCCAAGTAGGTAAAGAGAAAAACCAATAGCTAAAGTATTCCAAATTGTGCCTACAAAAGCGAAGAGAAGGACAGAATCCCAATTTTCGAAGAGTTGTCGATTTGGCATAAAATAGCCTGAAAAGATTGGGGGAGGTTTAATTTTGGTGGATGTTCCCTTCGGAGGGAAACCCGTCCAAAAGGGAACATCCCTTGGATGTTCCCTTCGGATGGAGGTCTATCCGAAGGGGACAGACAGAAAACTCTAGTAATTAACAATAGGAAAAATCGGTGGGCATTATTCCTTCGAGGACCTCCCACCTATTCCTTCGAGGACCTCCCACCTCGAAGGAATAATGGTGGGAGGTCCTCGAAAAATTCCTTCGAGGACCTCCCACCTATTCCTTCGAGGACCTCCCAGTGAGGTCCCTTCAAAAGGAACATCTCGGTCGACTAACTGGTCTAAAATTTTAAGAAGTTTTGTTTAGGTTCTGACCGAAAATTTGTATTTTGAAATTCAGACCTAAACGTTTCATATTTAAAATAAATTCTAAAACATTTGATTAAAAATATTCGTTAATTACATATAGTTAAGCAATCACAAAAAATTTTGCTTAATATGTAAAAATTCAAATATTTCTTATTTAATTGTAACGAATAAAAGTCGACACTAACATAAGTGTAAAAAATTTAATTGAGCAATTAATTTTTGGAACGGGTGTTCGCGCGAACCCTAAAAATGACAGACAACCTCAAAATTATGGGATAAGTTCAGAATGCACGCTGATAGGATTACCGAACTATAGTAATCCTTACCTACATAGCTTTAAAAGTTTAATAAAATCTGACCAGCATCGAAAATAATTGGAGGAAGTAGATATAGGAAGAATGTGGTAGATTTGAGAGTGAAGAGTTCGTTGCTAACATGGAGTTTCTGTAGAGCATAACCTAGAACTAGACCGACAACAATGAGTAGAGCACTGTCTGGTATTGCCTCTCCAAATTGTTTGTGGACATGGAAAACTTGAAATGAGAGAGATTAGGGTGTTCCATTACAAAGGGAAGAATGTTCCCTTCGGACTATGAACTATGTTCCCTTTGAACAGGGCCCGTCCGAAGGCTATCGTAGCGCGTGTTCCCTCCTGCAGAAGATAGCAAAGCACCTGCAGATTATGGGAAGAATGTTCCCTTCGAGTAGGTTCCATCTATAAGGAACAGACTGAAAGAAAGAATGTCCCGCTCAGAGAGGACCCATACGTAAGAACAGACTGATAGAAAGGATGTTGTCCTTCGGAGGGGGTCCATCCGTAAGAACCTATACGATGAATGAGTGTTCCATTCGGATGAGGTTCCCTTCATAGGGAACTATAATAGTAAACCTAAGTCACCTCAAAAGTGTTCTATCCGAAGAGAACATTTTCTTGGTAGGTTATTTAGAAACCTACGTATTTTAGCTATGCTGGCCAACAGTATCCAAACACTGACTGTATATGGCTACAAATAAATTTAACTTTTAGAAATTTAATAATTAAATTCATACAGTTTCAACATGGTGCCATTCCAGTGAGAGTATCTGCAAAGGAGAAGAATTATAATGTCAAGATTTATAAGGTCTAAAGGTCATATTTTGGGCCATAACTTTTTTCATTCTCAACCAATTTAAATAATTTTCCTATCAATCGAAAGCTCTGAATGTGGGAAATATTTTAGCCAACTGGATAGCTCTGATCGGATTATCCTACAAAAAGTTATAGCTTTTTAAGTGAGAGCAATCGTAATTTTTCATAATTATTCGGCTATAAGCTTTAAGTAGGATGATCTGATTAACTCAATAATGGTATCTAAAATGATTCGCAAATCAAGATTAGATAGAAAATCGAGTCTATTTGATCCAAAAATTATAATTAGAGTCAAAAGGAATACTCGCTATGATAGCTACCATAAGTTCTCTTTGATCGGTTCCGAAGGGAATATTACCCTATCTATTATAGTTAAGGTTATAAGTAAGATTTCAAATCTTAGGATATCCAGATACGGTATCCGAACCGAAAATTTATGGATATCCGGGCTTGTTTCGGATTTGGGTATCCGGATCCGACAACCTTATTTGGAATGATATCCCCCAAAAGGGTTTATGGAATTATTAGACCCTATAGAATGATCTGTACTATTTCGAAGGAGGAGGAGGACCTCTTCGAAAGAGGGAAATAATTTTTATGATTTTCTATAATTACCTTAAAATAGCTAGGCTTCTGTTCATCCTGTTGAGCATTAATATTAAACTCTGTTGTCTGTGAGGTTTGTTGTGGTTGTTGTGTTTCCCAAAATTTAGTAAAGGAACGATTTGTATTGTTTGATACATCCAAGAGGGCAGGAAATGAATTTGAATTTTTATGAAGAATGATAAGAATAAATAAAAATAAATAAAATTTTCGTTGTAAAGAAAAAATGTAGTTGAGTTGAGAGACATAGGAAGGGAGATATTTACTCATGTGTGTTTTTGGAATTGTTAAACTTTTTAAAGTTTAGGTACTTTGTACTACAGTCTCGTAATTTTAAACCTGAAAAAATAAAAATATTTAAGATGAAACTATGTTCCCTTCGAGGGGTCCACTTCTAAATATGTGTGGAAGTGGACTTTCTGAAGGAGGACCCTTCAGAAAGTCCAATTCCGAAGGGGGGTCATTCGGAAATGTTATAGTGCCTTTTTACGAAGAAGGACCAGGGCTGTGTTGGACGGTGCTTAGCGTTGCGTTTTGACGTTCTGCCGTCTTTTTTGGCCGATTTTGGCGTTCTGACGTTTGGCGGTTTTTAAGAATTTGCAAACTCAAAAATTTTGGACACAGGCCTGAGGAGGACCCTTCCGAATGAGGATGACAACGCGAATTTTGGGGTGTTTCCCGTTTAATTTTCATTTTCTTCTGATCAATTTTGGCTTTATTCTGATTATATTCGATAAACTGAAAGGAAATCGGTTGAATAAATGTTTTTAATTCAATAAAATTTAATTATTTTTCATATTTTTTTGGAAATATTTGAATAAAAATAAAAAAAAATTTTTCGTGTTGTCAAAACAGTATTTTTCACTCTCATGACATGACGCTCATTTTTTATTTTTATCAATCCCGAGTTTTTTTTGGTTGTATAAAAATAGATTGAATTTGTGGGGAAGTGCTAAATTTGTATATTAAATTGAATAAAATTGATCAAAATATTTTTGTTTATTTTTTCTGTAATTTTTTAAAATTCTGATTTTATTATAAAAATTCTGAAATTAATTCTGATTTAATTCTGAAAATATTCTGATTTTTTTAAATTTTATTCTGAATTAATTCTGATTTTTTCGAAATTATTAATGATTAATTCTGATTTTAATTAGAGTGATTCTGAAATTAATTCTGATTTTAGTCAGAAAATACTCTGTTTTTAATCAGAAAAATTCTCAACTTAATTCTGCCTGGTTCTGATTTTTTATGAATTTATCAAACTTAGTGCTGAGTTTATTCTGAAAATATTCTGAAATTAATTCTGATTTTAATATGAATTAATAGACTAATTCTGAATTAATTCTGATTTAATTTCTGATTAATTTTAATTAATTCTGATGTCTAATATGTAGTTCTGAAATAATTCTGAAATTCGTTCTGATTTTGATCAGAACAAATTCTGAAATTAATTCTGATTATTTCTCATTTTATTCTGAATTATTCTGATTCTAATTTTAAAAATTTTGAAAATAATTCTGAAAAAATCAAAATTAATTCTGATTTTATTCTGATTAGTTTTAATATTATTTTGTGTTAATTCTGATTTTTTCGGAGCTATTCTGAGATCAATTCTGAATGTTTCTAAAAATATTCTGAAAAAATCTGAATTAATTCTGAAATTAATCCTAATTTTTAATTCTGATTTAAATTATATTTAAACCCATTAAATAAAATTTGTTTCATACTTGATGTTAAAATTTTTTAATTGTTTGGAAAGCAATATATCAATTTTTATCGGGAAAAGCAAGATCAATTGAAAAAAAAGTTGTGACGATTATTCTCGCGATTTTTACGATTAATAAAAAAATAAAAAAATTTTTTTAACTAAAGCAATTAAAAATAAGAAAAGAATAAAATTGATTATTTGATATGTGAATTTAGGGGTAATTAATAAATAAATATTTTTTTAATGGTGGAATGGGTGGAATTAGTAAATATTTTTAAAAAAATATTTAATTTATGAGAGTTAATATATTTTTATTTTTTAATTTGCGCAACAGCTGTAAATAGAAATAGGTAATAGCGTAAAGCCAGAAGGAATTAAATTCTGATTTAATTTTAAAAATTCTGAAATAAATTCTGATGTTTATTTTAAAGATTCTGATTTTAAAAATTAAATTCTGATTATATTCTGAAATATTTCTGAAAAAAATACTAGTAAAATTCTGAAAAAATTCTGAAAATAATTCTGTTTTAATTCTGATTATATTTAAAAAATTCTGATTTTAAAAATTAAATTCTGATTATATTCTGAAATATTTCTGAAAAAATACTAGTAAAATTCTGAAAAAATTCTGAAAATAATTCTTTTTAATTCTGATTATATTTAAAAAATTCTGATTTTAAAAATTAAATTCTGATTATATTCTGAAATATTTCTGAAAAAATACTAGTAAAATTCTGAAAAAATTCTGAAAATAATTCTTTTTAATTCTGATTATATTTAAAAAATTCTGATTTTTAATTTAGAAATTCCGAAAAAAATTCTGATTTAATTCTCATGATTGTTTTAAGAAATTCTGATTTTTATTCTGAAAATTCTGAAATAATTCCGGTTAAATTCTGATTACTTATAAAAATGATGTTAAATTATTCTGATTTTTATTTGGTATTTTTTTTTAAATTCTGATTTTTAAAATTAAATTCTGATGTTTACAAGTCTTAAAATTATGTTTAGGGTTCGCGCGAACACCCGTCCCAAAAATTAGAATTATCTCCCTAAAAAACCTCATAAGCTGTGTTTTATTTACTTAATTATAGATAGCCGTATATTTGAATTTTTACATATTAAGTAGATTTTAATATTTATAAATAATGTAAAAATCAGACAAAATAATTTTTAAATTCCAACTTTCCGATTACAGGCACAAAACAATTTTAAAATTTAATTTTCCCCAAAATATTTTTATTGGATAATTATTAAAGTATTTACATTTTTATTCCATAAATTTCGGAATGTTTTGTTTTTAGAGGGAAAATTTTTTTGATAAATTTCCGCCTATTTTTGTTTTTAATTTTAAAAAGGATTTAAATAAAATTTATGAAATTATTTTATAAAATTCGTAAACATCCCCGAAAATATGTGTGAACAAATATTTTTATTTTTGAGCTACCCTCCGCCCTTTGAAGACGCGACATTTGAGGAAGAGGGACTTGTTTTGATATGAACGTCAGAAATATTATGGTAGACTTATTAAAATGTTATGAAGAAATTCTGACAAAATTCTGGTTAAATTCTGCTTAATTCTGACAACATTTCTGACAAAATTCTGATAAAATTCTGACAAAATTCTGATGAAATGTTCTGACAAAATTCTGATAAAATTCTGATATGATCAGGGATTATTTTCAGTATAGGAAACTAAGTTATTTTAGGGGACGTGGCCACATCCCCCGCTCCAAAAATTCACTTTCGCCAATATTATTGTATGTGTTCACTTTATATTTTTTTTAAACAAAAATTAATTGAATTTAAACATATTAAGTAAAAATATAAAAAGTAGGAAATTGAAGAAATGAGAGAATACAGTATACCAAAATTATTTTTTTTCTGACACTAAAATGACCAAATCTAATCTTTCTTTTGACAAAATTTTCCAGACCAGCCACTTCGGCAAATACATTGTGAAGAATTGGTGGTTGCTAAACACCAACCGTGATCATTACATGCTGAGTCGCCGGAACAGGAGGCTGAATTATTCAAGTTTTAAAGGCAAAAAACTCTCAAGAGCATTACAAATGGCTTTCAGCTCAAAAGGGGTATGAGGGGTATACGTTCCTTGTATATACCAAGAATGTGGTTTCGAAAGGAATGCACCTCACATGGGTTACTTCCACAGAGATATGCTTATCTCAGGTACCTCTTCTCTTATCTGAGGCTCTTATTTATCCTCCCCCTCCAAGTTTAAGCTATTCTACGCTCATGCATATTCCTTCTTGTATATCCAATCATCATATCTCTCCTATCTCAAAAATCGTATATCCCATCTCTTTTATTTCTTAATCCCCGACATACTCCTTCTAAAAGATATCCCATCTCAGACTCTTAGCTATCACTTTACCCTTTTATCACGATAAAAACTGACTTGTATTGCAGCGAGGACCGCAATAGCCTAATCGGCACAAGCACAAAGGTTCAGAAGTTGATCCAAAACAATGCCCATTTGAATTGCAATCTGTAGGAGAGCAATCCTGCAATTTTTGGATTTTTTTCAAAGCTTTTTGAAGATAAAACAAGCCTTTTCGGGCGATTTATTGTGTATTCCTATAGCCAAAATAACTCCCCTTTCATCGCTTTCATCGCTCTCGGAGGACGAGGAACTGTAATCACAACATGGAGATGCTGTTGTGTTTGGTTTTGCAGTTGTTGTTGTTGTTGTGTTGGTGGTTGTGGAGGTTGTTGTTGTTGTGGTGCTTTTTCTCATGAAGCACTCCAAGGAATGATCAAAACAACAAGGGCAGGATGAGTCTATCAACCTCTAAATTATTAACAGAAGATTATCAACAAAGGGGACATACTAGTTCGAAAGGAACATACCCCTCCGAAGGGAACGTAATAGTTCTAAAGGAACATACCCCTCCGAAGGGTACATACTAGTTCGAAAGGAACATACCCCTCCGAAGGGAACATACCCCTCCGAAGGGAACATACTCCTCCGAAGGAAACATACCCCTCCGAAGGGAACATACCCCTCCGAAGGGAACATACCCTCCGAAAGAAACATATCCCTCCGAAGGGAACATACTTCGAAAGGAACATACACCTCCGAAGGGAACATACTTGTTCAAAAGGAACATAATCCTCCGAAAGGAGCAAACCTCCTTCATAAAAACTTGCCATATATGATATATCCAGGTAAAATGAGAAAATCAACAAAGAATTCAACAAGTATGCCATTTCAAGAATGCAAAAATGGAAAAATAAATTTAAAACTGCAATACAAATTGGGAGACTATTTAAAACATTTATTTTTGAGTTAAAAAACAAGAAAAATAACTAATAAAATAATAAAATCAACCTTTATGGGACTTATCCTCTTGCTGGAAAGGATTTGCAGAAAAGGATAAAACTATACAAAAATAAAACAAAATTGTAACGAAAATTTTCGTAAAATGCGTAGGTATATTGATGAAAATGTGGATCATTCTTATCAGCTCTAATTTTGACACGGAATGGCATCTAAAGGACTAGTAAAGGCATTGAAAGTTGACCCATCACAGAAAATTTCTGGAGGGAGAATACCCCTCCAAATGGAACATACTCTCCAAAAGAACATAATACAGCTTCGAAGGGAACACACCCTCTAACTGGTACATACACATTTGAAGAGACATATCCCTCTGGAAAGACATATCCGAAGGTTACACACACTCCAAAAGATGCATATCAGGGGTGAACGAGTTTCGCCTTTCGTCTTTTAAATTAACTTTCGTCTTTCGCTTTTTAGAATCACTTTCGATACACCCCGGATGCACAAGAGAGAGAGAGTATATTGGAGACGGACCGTGACGAGATTTCGATCAGAAATCTCAGTTATCGAAATCGAGAATTTTTCGAGATTTTTCGAGACCTCGTTTCTCGTACGACAGTCCCATGTCCGATCTCTGGTATGTATGTATACAAAATCGAGGTTAATTCATTAATATCCATTAAGAAAATTTTTTTTATCCATTTTATTCATTATTTAGACGTTAAAAATAAAAAATTGTCAGAAAGGCAATTTTTGGCACTTTCCAAAATTTTATGGCAAAATATTTTAGTTAATTTTTTAGTCATCTCTAATTAAAATTTCAATCAGTCTCTCCAGCCATTAATTCCCAAAATTCTTCAAATTCAATTTTTCCGCTTCCGTCTTCGTCGATTTCGTCTACTGCGGCATCCAAGTCTTTGTCGCTAAGGTCTGGGGCGATTTCCTTGAGTAATCCTTTGAGTGTTGGACGAGAGATGTATCCATTACCCTAAAATGAGGGAGGTTTAGTGGATTTGGGTGATTATTTTTAGAAAGATGACAATTGATCCCAATTTTTGTAAAAATAAGCCGATTGGTCCCTATGGCAGAAAATGCAGTCAGTTACCCAAAAATTCACTCAATATATTAAAATTCAATTTATTTTTTATTTAAATAAAAAATAAAAAGACAAGTAGTAAAATATAAGATATAGGTTAATTTTTGGAGCTGGGGGTTGTGGCCAGACCCCCTTTAAAACACACTTAAAGTTAATTCTAGGATTATCGAAATTTTATCAGAATATTGTCATAATATTTTTCAAAAATAAATCGCAAAATCCCGAAAACCGAAAAACCTATTAATTACCCCCCCCCTTGAAAACCATTTCAATTATCCCATGCCTCTAAAGACTCTCTCAGTAATTCCACCCCTAAAAATCCGCACTCAAATATCCCAACTTCAAAATAACGTTAATCTCAATACACAAAAAACTCTCAAAATCTGTTGAGAATAATCTTGGCTGATTTAAAAAACTGAATTTGATCCCAAATTAACTTCAATATGTCTCTATTAAAATTAAAGAAATTATTGCCTCTTTGTCGAAGAGACGAAAAGCTTCTCTCAATTCTTTCCGCAAAGTGTCCTTGTCTACAGTATTCGCCACAGTGTATACCAAAGCGCAGAATTCGTCGAATTCGATTTTGCCGCTGCCGTCTGCGTCGAATTTTCGGATTAGTCTGTAAAATTTATTTTTAATTAAATTTTTTATTTTTACATGAGCTTTCAAGAGCTTCAAGCCTTATTTAGTGAAAAAAAATTTTCGGTTAGAGGGGATCAATTCACCACTAAATTGAGAGAGGAAACCCTTATGTTCCTTACAGCCTAGGCCGGCGTTCCTTACACCCAGGACCATTCTTATTTACAATCCAGGCACCCTGACCATTGTTCTCTACAGCCAGACAACCTCCAAGCACAGGCCGATATTCCACTCAGCCCTAGCCATTGTTCCCTACAACCAAGGCAGATGCTCACTCCAGCCACTGCCGTGTTCCTTACTTACAAGGCCAACGTTCCCTACAGCCATGACTACTATGTTCCCTCTCCAGCCAAACCATTGTTCCTTTACGTCTAAGCCGGTTTTCCTTTCACCTTACACATGATTTTCCTTCAAATTTCTCCCTCAAACTCACTTCCGAAGAGTTTTTTCATCAAAATCTTGTTCCATAGCATTCATAATTGTCCCAATTTGAGTAGCCATAATATAGCCATTCTTTCCACGGTCAAACATATCGAAGAAACGTTGATACTCCTCAATTTGAGAGCCGTCAATTTCGGCAAGGATTTCTTCTATATTCTCAGCCATTTTTTCGAAATAAAATTTTTAAATGGAAAAAAGGTTCTAAAATAAATTTAGAGGTATTTTTAAGTGTTTAAGCTGAAGAAAAAATTTTTAAGAGAGAAGGAACAGAGGAAAAAAGGGGGAAATGTAGGGGAAAGATGTTGATTGGCAAATGACGGCAACTTGGCCAAAATGGAAAGAAAAATCAAAAATATGTGGAGGAAATGAAGGGAAAATGAGTGGGTTGAATTAACAGAACAGGCAAATAATGTTTTAATATGTTAGCGATTGATGGCTGTGAGTGTGTTTTCAAAGCTTAAAGGGAAGGCTTTAAAAAGAGAGGATAAGGGGAAGGCTGGAGAAGAGGGAGGGGAAGTCAATCGACAGCCGCTTTTTCTTTTTTATTAAAAGCTGACTGAAAAAATGGAAGGAATGTTGGGAATGAAAAGAGGAAGAAGATTGACCGTCCTGGATAGTCCTTCAAGTCCGTGATTAATAAAAACTGATTTGACTAGTTTATAAATAAGCGACAGTCACGGAATCAGGGAGGAAATATTCCTTTCACATTACTAGGAGATGTTCCCTTCAAATTACTTGAGGATGTTCCCTTCACATTACCAGAAGAGGTTCCCTTCACATTACTAGGGGATGTTCCTTTCATATTACTAGGATATGTTCCTTTCACATTACCCGACGATGTTCCCTTCACATTACTAGAGGATGTTCCCTTCACATTACCCGACGAGGTTCCTTTCACATTACTAGAGGATGTTCCCTTCACATTACCCGACAAGGTTCCTTTCGCACAGGCAGAGTATGTTCCTTTCACACTACCACTGGATGGTTCCCTTCACATTATCACGGGAATAAATTATTTAATATATTAAAATTCAATTAATTTTTTGTTAAATGAAAAATAAAAAGGCATATCTAGTAATAATTCAAAATATTGTAATTTTTGGAGCTGGGGGTTGTGGCCAGACCCCCTTTAAAACACAATTGTAATTTACTCTAATCAGAATAATCAGAAATTATTTTAGAAAATGTTGAATCAAATATAGGACAAATAAAAAAGAAAAGATGTATTTGATTTGAAAAGTGAAAAAATATACATATGTTTGATTTGAGAATCAATATAGATCGCGACAGCTGTTGAATGGATGGATTGGCAAGCTAAAATAAATAAAAAGGAATGTAAGCTAGAAAAGCCGGGCAAATAATAAAAATGAGAGTAATGAAAAAAGTCTTGAATTTTCGATATTTTTTCGAAAAATATTTTTCTGAAATTTTTAAAAAATATTAAGGGAAATTTTAAATGAGAGATACAAGAGGGATACAAAAATGAACTATTTTTCGCGTAAAATTTAATTTTTTGACCAGAATTTATTTTAATGAATAAGATAATTTTGCAACTATAATTTATTTAATAGCTTATTTAATGCTCTATCCAATTCTATTAACATCATTAAAATTTATTTAGGCAATCAAAAGTTATAGGGCTACAAATCAAGTAACCTCACATTCCTTCAAGTGTGAAAATTTTGTTTTTTTTGTACACAACTCTTTTTGAATGAAAAGGATAAATTTTTAAACATAATATATTTAATAGCCTAATTTATGATCTATCGAATGGTACCAAAATTATCAAAATTGGTTCAGGAAATCAGAAGTTGAAGGGCTACGAATAAGCTACCTCTCATTTCTTCAAGGATGCAAAATTTAGCTTTTTGCCCACTACTCTTTTTGAATTAGAAAGATAATTTTTTAAACATGATTTATTTTATAACCTATTTTATGCTCTATCGAATGATACCAAAATCATCAAAATTGGTTCAGGGAATCAAAAGATATATGGAAAGGAGTTGACCAAGCTTGAAGTTCTTTTAGAGAGCCGTTGATTTAATTTTTAAATAAAAACACTTTTTAATTAATTTTTGGCATTCTGTCATTTTCTTTATATCTCTAACTACTCTATTCTCTAACCTAGCGAAATAGTTCGCTTTTTCGCCACGTCATCTTCAAAGTTTTCTTGTTTTTAATTTTTTCAATTAAAATTTTTTAACTTTTGAAATCTTTTTAAGCTTATTTAGCTATAATAATTTGAGAATAATGGCTTTATTGAAGAAATTTGAGTCAAAAAGTGCTCGAGTTAAAGGTTAATTTTTTTGATTGGAAATGTTTAGGTTAGTTGGGTGAATTATAAGCTTTGTCCGACCTATTGTGGAGGATTCTTTAAGTATTCCTTTTGGGTGAGGCTACCTCAAAAATACTCATAGAGCCAAGAAAAGGTTCATCCAATCCATCTGTTGGTTTTTTCCTGGAGTCAAGTCAATGCCTTGAGTCAAGTCATGTTTCCTTGATACAAGACAGAAATTTGCCTTATTGAGAGTCAAGGTCTGCCTTAATTTTAAGGTCTGCCTTAGATGCCCCTGACCGCTCTCCAGTAGAGATCGAGATTTTTGAATGGCCTGGGCTTGTAGTCCAGGGAAATCCCCAGGCGTTGGGAACAGGCTCACACTCAGCTCTCTCCGTTTACTTGACTCAGGATCGACTAATTTAGCCGCCACGATTTCAGATTTCTCCCTTTAGTTCTAGCATATCCCCAATTTGTCCCCATGTCTTCTGTCCAACTATAACTCGCTTCCATTCCTTTCTAAGCTTTATTTTGTTCATAAACCATATTTAATATTTTCTTTATTACAGGAATTTCGTTTCACCCAACTCGTCCATGGGTGCTAGCGTCGCTTCACAGCGGAGTTATACAACTTTGGGATTATCGAATGTGCGTCTTAATTGACAAGGTTTCTTTTAAATTTGTTTTGACTCATTCTAAATTTTATTTTTAGTTCGACGAGCACGATGGTCCTGTTAGAGGAGTTGATTTTCACTCGCAACAGCCAATTTTTGTTTCTGGGGGAGATGATTACAAAATTAAGGTTAATTTTTTAAAATTTTTGAAGAGGCTTGATTTGTCTTTTGGTGAGGGCTAACTCGAGGAATCCTAACTCACGGAACAGACAAATTTCGGAACGACAAGTCACGGAAAGACCAAAGTCAGGCCGTGAGTTGTCGTTCCGTGAAATGTCCGTTCCTCGAGTTAGCCTGACACGTGTCGTTCAGGTCTGGAATTATAAACAAAGAAAATGTATTTTTACCTTATTGGGACATTTGGACTATATTAGAACAACTTACTTCCATAAACAACATCCTTGGATTATTAGCGCGTCGGATGACCAAACTGTTCGAATTTGGAACTGGCAATCGAGGATTTCTATTGCGATTTTGACTGGTTTGTTTTTGAGGTTTTTGAATGGTTTTGAGGTTCCTAAAGCGTTTTTTATGTTTTTGAAAAAATTTTTGTGAGTTGTTTGGTAACACCTGGGCCCACGCATTATTGGACTCTTCGGGTCTTCTGTCTTCCAGGCCCGTGATCCAGACCCTGACCTTTTTTAAATTTTTCTTTCAATCTCCCTCTTTTTAGTAGAGACTGGGACATGAGCTCTCGAACATATATCTTGGTTAGTGTGATCGAGATTTTTTTGGATATCTCGTAGGATTCTCATACAGACTTTCCGTCATGCCCCTAATCTTTAGTCCACCCCCCTATTTTCCATTTTAAGGCCACAATCACTATGTTATGTGTGCCCAATTTCATGCTACCGAGGACCTCGTAGCTAGTGCTAGCCTTGATCAAACTGTTCGTATTTGGGATATTTCCGGACTTAGAAAAAAGAATTCGGCGCCTGGAGGAGGCTCTAGCGTTACAAGTGGAATGAGCCGATTTGGTTCAACTTCTGTTAGTTCTGCGCAAACTGAATTATTTGGACAACCTGATGTTGTTGTAAAACATGTACTTGAAGGACATGATAGAGGTAGGGTAAAAAATTTATTGTCCGCAAAAAATTTGCGGACACATAAAAATTGTCCGCAAATTTTTTGCGGACAACTTTTAAAATTTAGAAAATCTTCGCATTTTTAAGGAGTCAATTGGGTCTCTTTCCACCCTTCAATGCCCTTGCTTGTTTCTGGAGCAGATGATCGTCAAGTCAAACTTTGGCGTTATAACGATAGCAAAGCTTGGGAAGTGGACTCTTGCCGTGGGCATTACAACAATGTTTCCTGTGTTATATTTCACCCAAAGGCTGAACTTATTCTTTCAAATTCTGAAGACAAAAGTATTCGGGTTTGGGATATGCAGAAGAGAACATGTCTTCAGGTTTTTTTCTAATTTTTGGGGGCGAGGGAAGGGGGGACTTTTAGGGGATTGGGGAAATTTTTAAAAATTTCTAAAAAATTTATTGAATGGGGTGGGCATTTTAAACATAATTTTAGGTTTTTGGGAACCTGGAGGGACTTTGGTTTTGGGGCATTTTTCAAAAATTAAAAAAATTAAATTTATTGAAGGGGGGTGGGCATTTTAAACAAAATTCTAGGTTTTTGGAGCATTTTTCAAAATTTTTAAAAAATCATTTCTCCATAAAATCATTAATTTTCTTTTCAATTATTCTAGAACTTCCGCCATGAAAACGACCGTTTTTGGGTCTTGGCTAGCCATCCATCACTCAATCTTTTTGCTGCTGGTCATGATAATGGAATGATTGTCTTCAAAACTGAAAGAGAACGTCCTCCATATTGTATCCAAGACAATTTAGTTTTTTATGTAAAAGAAAGGCAATTACGTCGACTTGATTTAACTACAAAGTTTGTGATTTTTAATAGAATTTTTCAAAAAAAAATTTTTTTTTAAGTAAAGACACTCCTTTGGCTCATCTAAAACCAAACAAATTGACTCAACCTTTTTATTCTGTGCATTACAATCCAGCGGAAAATTGTTTTTTGTTGATTACACGTCCTTCAAATAACATTGAGTCGAGCACCTGCGATTTTTATAAGGTAAAAAAATTTTTTTATTTTATTTAAAAATGTCCAAATTTGAAAATGTCCAAATTTTAAAAATGACAACTTTTGAAATGTCTAAATTTGTTCAAAGTTAAAAATTTTTAACGTGTTGTGATCTAAAGTTGCGGATCTGATTTTTGCGGGCCAAAAATTTGAGGACCGACACTTGAGTAAAAAAAAGTAAAACTTTTATTTTTCGACTCATTGTCAGGCAGAGTTTATCATTATTCCGTAATCGGGTCCGCAAATTAAAGTCCTCAAAGTTTGGGGTGTCCCTCTAAAATGGCAAATAATTATTTCTTCTTCAAAGATCTCCCAAAAAGAAGGTGAACTCGAACCTGTAGATGTCAAACGAGCTCCAAGTATTGCATCAATATGGGTTGCCCGTAACAGATTTGCTGTGCTCGACAAGTCCCATCAATTAAGCATTCGAGATTTACAAAACCAGGAAAGTCGAAAAATTGATTATACTGGACCAATTGATGATATATTTTATGCTGGAACTGGACTTTTAATGTTAAAAAACCCGGATAGTGTTTCTATTTATGATGTTCAACAGAAACGTGTTTTGGTTAGCTTGAAAGTTAGCAAGGTTAGTTTAATGATTTTTTTGTTTGGATTTGAATTGTAAAGAAGGTTGGATTTCGTTTTTAAATACCTCCTTGGGGTTGAAGAATAGCATTTTTGTGATCTTTTTCCTTTATGTTTTCAGCCATCTTTCTCCCAAACTTTCCACCGTTTCAAGGGGGACGGACCTGTAACCAGGATTTTTTTCGGGAGTGGGGGGAGGGGCGAAATCATTCTAGCGCCAGAATTTTGAATATGTTTTTGTTTAAGTCATAATTGGAAAGAGGGTCGGATCTTGTTTTTAAATACCCCCTTTGTACTGAAGAATAGCATTTTCAGTTGGTGACTTTTCCTTCTGTTTTCGGTCATCCTTCCCCCAAATTTTTTCCATTATTTCTAGGTAGAAGGCCTGCAACCAGGATTTTTTCTGGAGGACGGTGTGGGGATAGGGATGGCGAATAATTCTCATGTCCGAACTTTTGGGTCAAAATATCCACTAATTTTTATTTTTGCTGCGCAGGCGAAAATTTTTAGAAGGCCATATTTCCCTCTTCCGTCCCTTGGACGCGCCCTTGTTAATAGGTATATATATTTTTTCAATTCAATTTCAGGTTAAATATGTCATTTGGTCAAAAAATATGGAATATGCAGCCCTTTTAAGCAAACATACTGTTACTTTAGTTACACGAAAACTTGCAGTTAATTTTTTTGTCTAAAGAAATTTTTTTTAAATTTCCTTTTTTTCAAGCTCCTTTCATCAATTCAAGAATCAACTCGTGTCAAAAGCGGTGCTTGGGATTTGGATAATGATGCTTTTATTTATACAACTTCAAATCATATAAAATATGCATTAACTTCTGGTGGTGATCATGGAATTATTAGAACGATGGATATTCCTGTTTATATTTTAGCTTTGAGAGGAAATCGTTTGTATTGTTTAAATAGGTTTTTCTTTTAATTCTTTATTCGAAAATGTAATTTTGTGACCGACAGGATATGCGTTTTTCCTCTGAATAGTTCCCTCCCTCCATTACCTCTTCCCCATTTAATGGATTTTTTTAAATTTAATTTTTCCTGAAAGAGTCATTGAAACGTATACCTTTTTCACCCTCACTTCCCCTAAACTGCTAAATTACTAAAAATATTATTTTTGGCTTACAATGAGGTTAGTAACAGGAATGTCACGGGTTGAGAAAAATGTCGGGTCGGGTTTCCAAAACTTTTCTCGGGTCGTGTTTCGGGTTGAGGTTTTGTGTAACTCGTGACATTTCTGGTTTGTAAACTTCTACCTAGTCATTAAACCCTTGAAAAATTTTTTTTATTTAATTTTATTTTTTAAAGAGATGCTTCTCCAATTGAATTAACCATTGATCCAACAGAATATCGTTTTAAACTTGCACTTATCCATCGTCGTTATGATGAAGTTTTGAATATGGTTAGAAGTGCTAATTTGGTTGGGCAATCAATTATTGCTTTTTTACAAAAGAAAGGATATCCTGAATTGGCGTTACATTTTGTTAAAGATGAAAAGACAAGATTTGGATTGGCTTTGGAATGTGGAAATCTTTCGGTATTTTTAAATTTTTGTTTAAATCTTGGGGTTGTTTGGTCCTAACTATTATGCGCTGAAACTAGGGTAGTTTGCATTTGATGACGTTTGTCTTGTATTATGACCTCGACATTTTCGGATTCGAGAAGTTAGGTTTCGAGTTTTGTCGTTTAGAACATATCAAGGTCTGAATTAGCGTTATCATTCAGTGTGCTAGGCATGATTAGCCGGGGTCGGTGTCCAAGACTCGGGCTTGAGTCTTGACTCAAGACTTTTTATTGTGTTTTTTCGGATTTTGAGTGTAATTTTGGTCTGAGTTTTAGAAAATTTCGTGCTATGGACATTTCTATTAGACGAGATCGTTGTCCGATTTTAACGGTTACCCTCAGTTTTTAGTCATTATCAAGTTATCCCTTTTTGGCTAATTGTCAAAGGACACCAATTTTTGATATGATTAACAATCCATTAGCTACACTAGTTTAAGCGCTTTAGTAAATTTTTTTCTCTGTCAGATAGCATTAGAAGCAGCTAAAGTACTTGATGATACAGCTGCTTGGAATGCTTTAGGAGAAGCTGCATTAATGCAAGGAAATCATCAAATTGTTGAAATGGCATATCAAAGAACTAAAGATTTTGAACGTTTAGCATTTTTATATTTAATAACTGGAAATGTTGAAAAATTACAAAAAATGCAAAAAATTGCACAAATACGTAAAGATGTACATGGACAATTTCAATGTGCTTTAATGTTGGGTGATGCTGAGGAAAGAACTAAAGGTTTTTTGGGGGTTCTTTGTATGGGAAGATGGTCTACTGGGTACAAGAATTTGGCATTTTTTTGGTACTGTTTGATAGAGGACCCCCGACTTTCTATTGCGAAGTTGGGTTTGTTTTTTGGCAAAATTATTTGGGGCCGACTTTTAACAATTCAAAGTTTGGAAGTGTTTGAGTATAAGAAAATGAAAATGTTGTGTTGCTTATTAACCCTATGCTCCATACTCTAGCGGTCCAACTTTGAACTAGCTTTGCAAAAAACAAACCAAACTTCTCAATATTAAGTCACGAGTCCTCTATCAAATTATAACAATAAAAATACCCAGAAATTTTCAAAGTGACCACGTTCTCATGTTAATGTCTTTAAATTTTAATTAATTTCATTTAAAGTTCTCAGAGAATTAGGACAAATTTCATTGGCATATTTATCAGCTACTACACATGGATTAACTGAAGAAGCTTCTCAATTGACATTAGAGCTTGAAAATAAAAACATTCCTGTTCCCGATGCAAATCCAAATGCAAAACCTTTTGTTCCGCCTAAACCGTTGTATCCTTTGACAGAGAATTGGCCTCAATTGACAGTTTCTGTTGGACCTTTTGATACACAATTGCTTTCTAATACTACTACTAAAAGTGAGGAGAACTTTTTTTTGGATTTTTTTTAATTTTTTGGCGTTATTTTTTGGTTTCTTGGAATTAGGATAGGCGGATCCTTATTTCCATATTCAAAAAAAAAAGTTGGGATATCCTGGCATTTTTCGAGTATGATATCGAATCTAAGGTATTTCTCATGTCAGTATCTTTTCCCAAATATTCTCTTCCAGCTGTTACTATAGTGGGTTTCCCCAGGATCTGCCGAGGGATGACCCCAGGATCTGCCAAGGGATTTCCAATGAGCTTCAGAGTACATGATGTGCTAACTTAGTTCAAAACAATTTTTTCTTCATTTTAGAAGCTCCTACAGCCAAAACTCCTGCCTCAATGCTTTTGCTGCAGAACAAAACGAAGATCATACTGAAGGTGAAGCATGGGGCGTTGATGGAGATTTATTATTAGATGAAGAAGGTAATCCAGAAATGGATGAAATTGAAATGATTGGAGGCGAAGAGGATGAAGAAGGCGGTTGGGATGTATGTTGTTGAATTTTTTTCATACGGAAAGATGTTAGGGATGTGCCGAAACCGTTTGTAAAACTCGAAAGACGAAAGGCCAAACACTAAGGAAGGCGAAAACCCCTTCCATTGAAATTTTGTATTTTTTTCAAATTTTTAGGTTGACGAAGAAATAACTCAAGCAGTCGAATCTATGCGCATTGGTGCTGGAGATGAGGCTGCGGATGATGGGTTTACTTTACCCCAACGTGGACATGCTCCACCATTTTATTGGCCTGGAAATTCTCGTCTTACTGCTGATCATGTTGCTGCTGGTGCTTTCGATTCAGCTGCTAGATTGTTGGAAGAATCACTTGGAATTGTGCAAATTGGTCCTTTTAAATCTTTGTTCCTTTCAACTTATGCCAAGTATTTTTAAAAAAAAAATTTTTTCTAAAGAAATTACTTTTTAGGTCTCGTGTAGCATGTTGTGCAATGCCTCTGTCCCCTCCCAATTTTATTTTTCCTATGCGAAATTGGCAGGAAAGTTTACCAAAATCTTCACTTCCAGCTGTTTCTTTAAAGGTTTTTTTAAATTTTAAGGTCCTCTAAATTAAGATTTTTCTTCTAGTTAAATGATCTTGCGCAACGTTTACAAATTTGTTATAAATTAACTACAGATGGAAAATTTGTTGAATCTGTTCAACGTTTTAGACAAATACTTCTTTGTATACCTTTACTTGTTGTTGATTCAAAGCAAGAGGTTTAAACGTTTAAAAAAAATTTTTTTAATTAAATAATATTTTGATGTTCTTTTTCGTTAGCCCCTTGCATTTTCCTTTTTTTAAATAGGGCAATGCTAACATTAAGGTTATTTGTTCTAAAATATGATTTAAATATACACGACCAAACCAAAAATTATTTTAGGGAAAGAGTCTGAGATTTCGGTCGACAAGGCCGAAATGATTTCATACCCGTTTCGTTTTTTTGTCGATTTAGGCTAAATTTTTTGGTATTTGGTATTGCCCAATTTATTAGAAACCGATGATAGGATAAAAAACAAACGGAAAATGAGGTAAGAAAACGGAAATGTACAAATTGTTTTAGGTTTTGGAAGCTCAACAATTGCTACAAATATGCCGAGAATATTTAGTTGGTCTTTTACTTGAAACGGCACGAAAAGAATTGCCTCGTGAATCTACTGAAGATGCAAAACGAAATTTAGAAATGGCTGCCTATTTTACAAATTGTGATATTCAACCTATACATAAAATTTTAACTTTGAGAACTGCTGCAAATTTGAGTTTTAAAAATAAACAAATGAGACATTGCGCAACATTTTGTCGTCGATGCATTGAATTGGGTATTTAAAATTTTTTTAATTATATGGGAAACTGAGGGCAAATTAAAACAAAATTTGAAACATCCTTGTCTTTAATGGGATTTTGTTTTGAATTTTCGAATTTTTTTGGAATAAGAGTCGAAATTTTTTGTATTATCCGCGCCAAAATTTGGGTGTGAAGCACTTTCCCGAAATTCACACTCTAGATACGCCTTTGGTATGTCATCTTACCGACGGTTTCTGACAGAATCCAACAGTGAACTAAGACTTGAGGCTTTTTTTAATTTTGATTCTGCTTCCCAAAAATTTCGGTTTAGTTCCCTAGTTTCGGTTCTCCAACCCTAACGAGTCGGTTTCTTTTATTTGTCAAATTTCTTTCGGTTTTATTTTTAAGTATTATCATGCCCTATTTTCCTGAAAAATTTTTTTCTAAATTTTTTAGGACCTAAACCAGAAGTTGCTGCACAAATGAGAAAAATGCTTTCAGTAGCAGACGTGATAATACTAATGCATATGAAGTTTATTTTTTGAATTTTTTTTTGAAAATTTTTTTTATTTTTCTTTAAGATAAATTATGATGAGCACAATCCTTTTGTGTTATGTTCAAAAAGTTTTACACCTCTTTATAGAGGAAAACCACAAGTAAAATGCCCCTTTTGTGGAGCGAGTTATATGCCTACATTTGTTGGTTCTGTCTGTGATGTTTGTGAGGTTTGAATTTTTTTTGAAATTCTTTTTATGATTTTAATACTCCACCCGGGAATAAGGTCTTAAAAATTAGTGGTCTAAAAATTATTTTAAAATATTTGGGGGAAGGAGAGGAAAACTTACCCAATTTTTTTGGTTGGGGAAAAATTATATTTGGCCTGTCTTCTATGCGAATCGGGGTTGGGAGAAGGGTTATTCGAAACAGAAGCTTGGACTTTTTCTAGACCCGTAGAGAGAAGAAACTTACTCTATTTTCTGATTGAAATAAAAGCATTTTGCCTGTTTTTTGTGGAGGGGTTACTTAAAGCTCGGACTTTTACTCACTCTTTTCAAGACACCCAAAACTTGAATTTATTTTTCAACCCGGAACTCAATCCTATGAAAATTCTTCAAAACTCGACCCGGCTTTTTTCTCTCAACAATCCCTGATTCGAATTAAAATTTGGGCGCGATTCTGACTAATTAAAATTTAAAAAATTTTTTTAATCGAAAATCAATTTTTTTAAAGGTAGCAGAAATAGGAAGAGATGTTCCAGGATTAAGAATTGCTTCAATTCAAAGTGGGAAATGAGAGAGAGACATTTGGGTGATTTTTTGTATAATTTTTTTAAATCAAAAAAATTCATAATTGGAATTGTTACTATGCGCCTTTTTTGGATAATTTTATTTAATATATTTTATTCTGTTGGGGTATTTTTTTAAATTAATTATTCTGTGAGTAATCGTAATTAATTTATAAATTAATTTTTCTGTGACTAAATAATAATTTATTTAAAAAAATACCCCAACAATTTTAATTTAAAAAATTCAAAAAAAATTTTTCCTGTTTGTTCTATTTTGTGTTTTTTAGGCAAAAAAATGATATTTTAATAGATAAATATTGTTCTTTTAAAAAAAGAATTTTTCTATTAGTACATGATTATTAGGGACAGCCAAAATATGCACGGAAAATCGCCAAATATGCGCATATATATGCACCGAAAAAGTCGAAAATATGCACCAAAATATGCACTGAAATATGCATCAAAAAATAGTTAAAATATGCTTTAAAAATCAATATTTTAAGTTAAAAACACTAATTTAGCCTTTAATTTTACATTTTAAGAGCACTTCTAAAGAATTTAATGGATTTAAAATTTTTGAAAAAATTTTCGGGAAAAAAATTTTTCCCAAAAAATTTTTCGAAAATATTTTTTCAAAAAATTTTTATAAAAAAATTTTTTGACCAAAAAATTTCAAAATTTTAGTCAATTTTTGGCAAGATTTTACAAAAAATGCCAAAATATGGACCAAAATATGCAAAATTTGCCAAAATATGCACAAATATGCAAATAAGCACGAAATGGTCGAAATATGCAAATATATGCATTAAGAACCGGGTCCTAAAGTGCTCGGACCTATGTAAAAACACCATTTTTAGGCTTCTCACTTCAAGGCATATCCGCATACAAAACATGCATTTGCATGTTTTGGCTGTCCCTAATGATTATATAAAAAAATCTTTTTATATTTAATATATTTAACTATAATATAATTAATATTTGAGCAAGCGTTCGGACAGGTCACGCCAAAACGGAGATTTGGATTTTTTTCTACCCGTGAACCCCCTCCAAAAAAACCAAACCCTCAAAATCCGTTGAAATACCAAACTGTTTATTTAACATAGAGATCGGAATTTTGAAAAAACCTGGAAACGGGTTCTGAAGGTCGACCGGGAGGGACCCGGACCGGGAATTACCGTCCCGGTTTCATCCCGGCTTAAAAAAAAGCCGAGAAAGAGGACCGGGAAACGGGACCCGTTCCGATCTCAAATTTGACATTTTGATCTGGGTAAATAGGTCTTCTGGGTGTAGGTCTTTAGGGGTGGACTCGACACTTTGATAGCAGGGCATCATATCATTTTTTTCTTGATCTGTCCGAACTCTGACGAGGAGAAATTTTTATTTTTTTTGTTTTTAGAAAATTTAGTTAAAAATAAAAAAAGAGGAATGCGTCTTGCTTTACGCCTTTCTCGCCCAGCTCCAAACCAAAATTTAAAGAATCCACGACTCTGGCAGGATCCAGTATATGGCTATTATGAAACGCACGGAAAGATGGAATTTTTGCCTGGAGAACAATACAATTTGTCTGATGATGAAAAAAAGGCTGTGTTGTGGCGTTATCGGGTTAAAGAGGTTTTTATTTGAATTTAGAAGAAGGAAAGGATTTTTAAATTTTTTTTCAGATTTTAAAGAAGGAATATTTTCGTCGGGAATATAATCCTCATACTTTTAAATACAAGGTTTGATTAAAAATTTTTTGTTATTTTTTGGGTTCAGTCGACATTATTAATTTTCACTTCTTCCTTTATTTTTTTTTATTGTTTTAAAAGAAACCAGGGTGAGACTTTTTAGTTAACTGAAACTGCTACTCAACCGCTCCAAAAGTCGAAAACTTTGGACCCCTCTAACTTTTCGAAATGGGGGTCGGATCCAAAAAAGTCGATACCACAATAAGTTTTCGACCATGCTCTACACGATGGTGTAAAAATATTTAGGAAATTTTTGGTGACAGTTCGATAGTTTCCCTGGGAAGTTAATCTCTTGGCGCATGAGTATCGCTTACCATTTTTGATTTCGAAAAAAGGGGAGAGGATAATCATGAGTTAAGAGAGTTTGTAGGTCCGAAAAACCGATAAAAGGTACCTAAATAGGTTCGAAAAAGGCCTTATTTTTCCCCCTTTTCTATATTTCATTATGGGTTAAAGAAATTAATCTTATTTGTTAACAAAAAAAAAATTTTAAAGCAAGGAATCATACTCGATCCGGCAATGTTTCGTTGGTATGCTGCTGATATGACACAAATGGAGTATATGCGATTGACTCCTAGAAGTCTTTTTATGTATGCTGGAATAACGATGTTGGCCTTTTGGTTGATAACTAAATTGGGAGTGATTAGCATGGTTTGTTTATAATTTTTAGTAATAAATTTTTTAACTACTTGAGGTTCTGAAAATTTTTATTTTTTTGGTACCATTCGATAAAGGGCCTAAAAAATTTTATTTGAGACTTTTGTTTTTGCGAGGCAATTTTATTTTTTTTTTGGGAAATGATGGGGCCGTATGATGGCCAGTTAAAATTGGCCCCCAACAAGATTCCATTCTGAACCGTTTTTTCTATAAAAGGTGTAAGGCTAGAATTTAGAGTAGAAAGGTAAAGAAACATAGTTTTGGGGTCCTTTATCGAAAGTTACCAAAAAATAAAAATTTTTGTGGACATTAAGAGGTGTTCCCTTATTGGTAAAAGACAAAATCTTTTATATTTTTAAGTAGGGCTGACGGCCCGGTTTGATAGACCGAACTGGGCATCGAATTGTAATCATCAAATTTTGGCCTGAAAAAGACTCCACCGGTCCGGCTCGGAAAAATTAGGCCCGAAAACGTCGGCCCGGTTCGAAAACGGCAACCCTAATTTTTGGGATTTATTCTGAGAAAATAATTTTTGAAAAAAATTTTTTTTTTGGTTTTCTGAAAATTTTTAAAAAAATTTTTGTCCCTCTATTCTGAAATTCTGATTTTTCAAAATTTCAGAAAAATTTTTTTTTTGAATTCTTGTTTTTTCAGGAAAAAGATTCCGATGATTGTTTGACTGGAGAAATGCTTTGGTGGGATCGGTATAGAAATAGATTCGAATTTGTTGGTGGTAATGCACCTCCTCGTCAAGTTTTACATGCTCATTGTTAAAAAGAAATTTTAGTGGAAATTTTTTTTAGGTTAAAATTGGAAAAAAAATTTTTTTTTGTAATGAATAAAAATTTTGAAAAAATTTTTTGAAAATTTTTGAAATTTTTTTACTGGATTTTTTAAATCCTTAATAATTTTTTTACAATTTTTATCAATTTTTATAGTTTGCCTTGTTTTTTTTGTTTTAGAATTTTAAAAATTTTACAAAGAAAATGAGTGAATATCCACATGCAAAGAAATTGGATGTTACCAAAGATGTTGAAAAATTTAAAGAAATTAAGGATAGCATGGCTATGCAGGTTTTTATTAATTTTATAAGTTATTTCTGTTTAATTCTTGGTAAATGGGTTTTACTGCTTGGGTAGTGGGCTCTTTTGAGAGTGGGACTGGGTTCTTTCGACGGGTGGCCTTGACTCCTTGCAAAAGGCTGATCTCTATTTTGTGGTTCCGCACAAGACCGATTAACCGCTTGGTTATTCCCAGTGGGTCTTCTTTTCTCTTTTCCCTTCTCTTTTCTCTTTTAGACCCGCCATAGGGAAAGATTAACCGGGCGGTTAACCGATCTTGTGCTACTCTAGTTTCAGCCTGCCACAGAGCATTGTGACTAGTTCGTATTTTGCAAGTCAATTCTTGTGCCGTTCGACTGTCAGCTTGACATTCTTTCGAGTCATAACCGAAATTGACCCTTGTGGTTTTATTCTTTGTTGTCTCATGATAGGGTGGAAATTCTTCGGATATCCGAAACTGAACCGAAAATTTTTTAGCTCTACTGGTTCGATCCAGAACCGACAACTACTCATGTCAGTCTGAGGGTTCATGCTTCTATTTTTTTACCGATTTTCGTTTAATTTTAACTTTTTTTAGTATCCTTTTGAACTTGACCCTTTTCAACAACACGCCGTTTGTAAAATGGAAGAAGGCGAATCTGTTTTTGTTGCCGCACATACAAGTGCTGGAAAAACAGTTGTTGCAGAATATGCTGTTGCTCTATGTAAAAAGAATAGAACAAGGTTTATTTTGATTATTCAATAGAGAGCGAGCTGGATTTGGATCCAGACCTTGATTTTTGCTTGATTCAAGGTCAAAAATCTGGTCAAGGTACCCAACCGAAATCAAGGTTAAGGATCAAGGTCAAGGTTTTTTTTGAAAACCTCGCTCTCTAGTATTCAAGTATGCCATTCTGATTTTCAATTTTAGGGTTATTTACACGTCCCCAATCAAAGCGCTGTCAAACCAAAAATTTCGAGATTTTAAATTGACTTTTGACGATGTTGGTTTAATTACTGGAGGTATTAATTTTGAACTTTAATCAAAGGCGAGCTAACAATAAGGGGCCCCCCTTAAATGGGAAAAAAGGGAAAAATATTGGGAGAAAGATGATAGGAAAAATGAAATTTTTTGCACTTACGACCTCCAAATTTCAAAAAATTTTCGCCTGCGGTGCTGAAAAATTGGTATTTGTACAATAAAATTTGCATTCAAATCGCCAAAATTTTTGCCTACAACCCATTTTAGCCACTCTATCTGAAATTGACCCCCTGGCTACGCCCTTGGTCTCCATTACCTCCAAGTTTTCCCTAAATTCTTCAGTTGCCAAAAATTAACCAAAGTTTTTTGAGTTTTTATTTTAGTTTGAACCCGAAAACCCTTATTGCTTTAATTGCCAGAAACAAAGGAAACTTGACAAAAATTTAAAATGGACCTCTAAACTTAAAAAAGAAATTTTTTTTTTAATTTTTTAGATATTCAATTAAATACGGAAGCTAATTGTCTCATTATGACAACAGAAATTCTTCGTTCAATGTTTTATAATCATTCGGAAGTTATCCGAGAACTTGAATGGGTTATTTTTGATGAAGTTCATTATATTAATAATATTGAGGTTTTTTTTTAATTTTTTTGAAAATTTTTTAATTTTTAAGAGAGGCCATGTATGGGAAGAAGTGTTAATTATGTTGCCTAAATATGTAAAAATTGTTATGTTGAGGTATATTTTTGTCATAGTTAAGATTATAAAACGCCCATTTTTAGCGCCTCATAAAAGGCGAGAGAGAATAGGCCAAATCAACTTACTTTCTCATTAATTAGTTCTGGGCCCGATCAAAAGTTGGCCTGTCCTCTCGCCTTTTATTTATTAATTATATTTGTTGAATAAAAAGGTTAAAAAGAAGGCCTTCGTTTTTAATAGGTGGATCGGCGCGCCCCAAGGGTGGGTTACCACTCTTGGGGCCCAACGCCGACTAACCCCCTGAAGAAAGGGGTTAGGGAAATATAAGATGGCGCTCCTGTAATTTTCTCCACCTAATAAAAAAATCCCTACTCCACCCAAAAAATATTCCTAAAAATATTCCAAAGATATTTATTTAAAAAATTATTTCTTCTCCCCATCAATCAACTTAATTTTGGCGATCGGAAAATTTTTTTTCTATATATTAAACTAGTTTTTTTTGACTTCTTCTTTTGCAGCAACGCGCAAATTGGCCGGAAGTGGGCAAATAGGAAAGAATTTGGGAACCGCCAAAATTTCTTATCACAAGAATTACAGCTGTTTCTTGTGACATTACAACAAAGAAATTTTGCGCGAGCAAGTTTTAGGCGTGACAGAAAGGGAGAAATTAATATAAAAAGGAGTTTAAAATCTACCAATTTGGCTCACATTTGATTAATAAAGAGCCGAAAAGGAGCGAAGGAAATTTTCATACACGGATTTGATCAAAGGATACACAAGGATTTCTCACACAGAAGGATTCATTCAAAAGATACACGGAGGGAACAAACGGAGCAGAAGGAAAATAAACACATAAGGGATTTCTGAGGATAATAACGAAAAAGAGAAGAGGAGACAAGGCTAAAGCGAAGGAGTTCAATTAGAGCGGCAAATTTTAGGTTGGAGTTGATTGTTAAGTCCGAAGCATTTGAAGTGAGAGAAGGATAAAGGTTGGAAAAGAAAAAGGACACTTATTCGCGGATTTTGGAAACTTCTGGATTTAATCTCTTGAATCAGGCCTCTTGTAGAATTTATAGCCAGTCTTGGAATAAAAGCTTAAAAAACGTGCACGTGGAAAAACAAATTGAGAAATAAGAGCTCGATCATTTTCCTAACAGATCAAAGGTGATTACTGCAGAATCACTTCTGGTTCCCCTACTGTGGGCGAAAAGCTAGCTAAAAGAGGAAATATTATTTGAAGTGTTAGGAAAAGTCGAGCATTGAAATAAAATTGGAAATTATAAAATAAATCAAGTCCGGACAAAGACTGTCTAGAGAAAATTAATAGAAGGCTTCTGATGAAAGAAGAGGATATTTCAGGATTAGAAGGGGACAATACGAAAGATAAAGGAAATATTATTGGTACGAGCTCAAGTGGACTTCCATACCCTACCTTTTTTGATGGCAATGGAGATTTTTTGAGCTATCTAAGGGCTTTCAACCGGATTGCGACTGCACACAATTGGACTCCCGCGAGATGTAGCCAAATATTGCCGCTTTATCTACAAGGGTCTGCACTAGCGATTTATGAATCAATGCCCGTGGATGAAAAGTCGCGGTGGAAGACACTTGTAGAAAGCTTGGCAGGGAGGCTAAAAAAGATATCAAATAAGGAAAGCGCACGCATAAAATTAGTTGAAAGGAGACAGGAGATGGGCGAAGGATTAGAAGAATTTGCAATGGATTTAAAGAATCTAGTGGAAGCAGCTTATCCTGAGAATGCGTTTGGAATGGACCTTGCTTCAATTAAATTAGATGACGAACAAAGGACAGGCTTGAAAGGGGAAAATGACAAAATGGCCAAAAAGTTTAAGGAGGAAATTTGCATGGAGAGATTTAAAGCCGGAATGTTACCTGAACTTAGGGAAAAGGTTATTTTTATGAAAGCGCCCTCCTCATTGGCAGAAGCAATAGCGCAGGCAAAACGGGTTGATGAATTAAATCGGACAATTAAAGATGAGACAAGGAAAAGACTGGAGAAAATAGAAGTTAAGGCGGCGCTAGCGGAGATCAATGAAGTCAGGGATCCTTACCAAAATGATGACCAATATTACTATGAGGAGCAATTCCAGGAGTCTAACGGATGTAATGAGAACGGGGATGATGAAAAGATGGACCCAAATGTTGACCCATACTATGCCAATGACCAATATTATGATGATGAAGGCCAATGGTTTCCACATGAGAGTAATGAGGACTGGGGAGAGGAATATTGTCAGGATCAAGGATATCAGAACTGGCCCACGGACGGAACAGATTTTGAGGAGTATTAAAAAACATTTGGCGACGGGATACATTTTTCGAAATAGACTTATTTGCTGACCCCCCAGGAGAGGAAGAGAAAGTGGATTTTGGCGTTTATTTTTTGACATTTGATTGGATTGGCGCTCCGTTGACACATACATAATTTTTTCCGTTTTTGCCAAAATTTTCTTGATTCAATACAACTAGTGCAGGAATTTGTTGAAGTGAAATTACGTTTTGCGCGGGATAGATTTGATTGCTAAAAGAATAGAAGCAAAGAATGAGGATGACAAAATCTTGACAAGAAGCACATCGGACTAGAAAGAAATGACAAACAAGAAAAGAAAGATTATTCAGATAAAGAAAATAAGAATTTCATTTCACATTTTCCGCACTTTTATTTATCCGCTTTTTCCGTTGTATCCCCCACCCCCGCGTATAGAATGTCATAGTTAAGATTATAAAACGCCCATTTTTAGCGCCTCATAAAAGGCGAGAGAGAATAGGCCAAATCAACTTACTTTCTCATTAATTAGTTCTGGGCCCGATCAAAAGTTGGCCTGTCCTCTCGCCTTTTATTTATTAATTATATTTGTTGAATAAAAAGGTTAAAAAGAAGGCCTTCGTTTTTAATAGGTGGATCGGCGCGCCCCAAGGGTGGGTTACCACTCTTGGGGCCCAACGCCGACTAACCCCCTGAAGAAAGGGGTTAGGGATATATAAGAATTTTTGAATAATTTTTCGAGGGGAAAATAAATTGAATAATATTAATTGTACTATAAGTATGGTTTGAGGGGTTAGACCCTAACTCTGCGAGCCCAGCCTAAAACCGAGGTCATACATAACTGTTTTAAATTTTTGAATCCGTGGCGCCTTGGTATGGTTCGACTTAGCTCGTCGATGCGTATCGATTTTACCAAAGAGTCTAGAATTTGAGAATTCTGAACGAAGTTATAGCCTAGGCGTAGGATGGCCTACTCCCGGTTTGAGTTGATAAAAGGGGTGGGGAGTCTCTTCCGTCTTTAGCTGAATTTTGTTTGTTTTTTTTCCATGTTCTGTCTTTTGCTTTTATAATTAGGAAGGGTCCCTTGTTGTATACTGGAATTAGATTTTTTGGATAAGGCAAAAGGAAAATTTGGCTATTTTTTAAAATTTTGTATATCACGGGCATTTCGAACTACTTTTTAAGGAAAGCATAAGAAGAGCAGCCTTTCTAATACTTATTATGGCCGTAGCCTTGTGAGGTTCACACACATTGGGGTGTACCCGTATTTTCAAACCCGAAAATTTTTCCTGATCTACGACCCTGATACTTATAGACCTTCCCAAAAATTTTTTTTTAAAATAATTTTTAAATTTCAATTTTGAGTGTATACAAACTATTTTTATTTTTTTAGTGCAACAGTCCCAAATTGTCTCGAATTTGCTGATTGGGTTGGGTATGTCTTTTTAAAAGATTTTTTAAATAAAAAATCTAATTTTAGCCGAATAAATCATCGAATAATTTATGTAGTTGAAACACTCAAAAGACCTGTACCTTTGGAACATTTTTTATATTGTGGACAGGATGGAAAGACAAGAAATGATATTTTTTTAATTTTTGATACTGAAGGAAATTTTAAAAATTCTGGGTAAGTTTTTGGGGGAAGAATTTTGGAGGTCTTTTTTGAGGTCCCTCTATGTATTCTTACAAGGGAACCTTTCGAACTGTGACCAAAAATTTTTAAATAAAATTTATACCATCGTGTAGAGCATGTTCGATAACCTATTCCTATACTCGGCTTTTTCTACACGATGGTATAATTTTTATTTAAAAATTTATGGTCACAGTTCGGAAGGTTCCCTTGTTAGGGAGCAGTCCAATGTATCGCAGAGCTAGAACTTTTTTTTAAAGTGGTTGAATCCGGGACGCTTTGGTATGGTTCGATGCGTCTCGACGAGCTGAATAGAACCACACGAGATGCGCCACGGATTTGACAATTCTGAACAAAGTTATAGTTCTGCGGTACATCGGGGGTGTATCCGTATTCTTAATTTTTCCTTGTTTTATTTCTGAAATTTTAAACCACCCCTAAAAATGAATATAATTTTTGATGCGGTTTCCATGGGGAAAGTAAAGCAACGAATTATGGGCTTCTAAGGCTTCATAAAATTTTTTTTTGAAAATTAAAAAAAAATTTTTTTTTTATTTAAGTTATCAAAAAGCAGTAGAAGCAAAAGACAAAGCTCAAAAAAATCAAAAGTATGGAATGGGACAAGTTGGGCCTGTAGGAGGACATCCTTGGCAGTTGAATAAAAATGTTTGTTGTTGTTGATTTTTTAAGAAAAATTTTTTTTAAAAAATTTATTTTCGAAAATTTTTTTTTGGATTTTAAAAAATTTTAGAAAATTAAAAAAAATCAAATCAAAAAAAATTTTTCAAAAAAATTTTATAAAAAAATTTTTTTGAAAATTTTCAAAAAAATATTCGAAATTTTCTGAAAATTTTCAAAAAATTTCAACAATTTTCAAAAAAAATTTTTTTGAAATTTTTTTGAAATTTTTTTGAAAATTTTTTTTGATTTGATTTTTTTTTGAAATTTTCTAAAATTTTTAAAATTCAAAAAAAAATTTTCTAAAAAATTTTTTTTTCAAATTTTCTTTTTCAGAACAAAAATGTTTATATCAACCTAATTTCCTATTTAAACACCAAAGATTTATTACCAATGATTGTTTTTATTTTTTCTCGACAGCGTTGTGATGAAACTGCTCAAATATTAAATTCTGTTGATTTAACTAGCGAATCAGAAAAATTTGCAATTCATCATTTCTTTAATCGGTGTATTGATAGATTGACTGGGTCTGATAAGGAATTGCCTCAGGTTTGTTTGTTTTTATTTTTGGGGTATTTTATGAGTGGACAAACCTTTCCTCTTAAGGAGAGGTTTGATCATTTCCTTACTTTTTTGATCATTTCTAGGATTGGGTGGGGTTGGTCCAGTCCGAAAGATCGAGTCGGGCATCAAATTTCGGCCCAAAAATGACTCGGTCGGTCCGATTTGATAAAAATGAAGCCCGAGAACCCCAACTCTAATCATTTCCCTCCCAAATTTTTTTTCATTTTCTCTCATTTCTGAGATGGGGGCATGCTTTAGTCCCTGGCTACGCTTTGCTATATTGTTGCTATTTCTTTAACATTCCGAAATTTTTTTTGGATTTTTTGTTGATCAATAATTCTATGAATTCATTCAAAAAATTTCCTTTTTTGGTTTATTCTCTTTTTCCAATCTTGTTTTTTCTTATTTTGTAAGATTAGTCTTACCATGGTCCCTTTATTAATCCTTCAATTTTTTTACAATTTTCTCTCTCATTTTTTTCAGGTATTATTAATGCAAGAATTATGTAAACGAGGTTTTGCTGTTCACCATTCTGGAATTTTGCCTATAATTAAAGAAGTTGTAGAATTACTTTTTCAAAAAGGTTTAGTTAAAATATTGTTTGCAACTGAAACTTTTGCTATGGGGGTAAATATGCCTGCTAGAAGTGTTGTTTTTGATTCTATTGAAAAACACGATGGAAAGGAAAAAAGAATTTTAAATTCGACAGAATATGTTCAGGTTGTTGAAAATTTTTATTTGAGTTGAACCTTTCTATAAGGTTTATTTAAACGACATGTTTTTAAAAAATTACTTGGCTACTTGGGGGAGGATTGCTGGCTTTGGGGGGGGGGGGGCTGGCTTCATTATAAGGTATACATCTCATAATAAGTAGGGACAGCCAAAATATGCACGGAAAATCGCCAAATATGCGCATATATATGCACCGAAAAAGTCGAAAATATGCACCAAAATATGCACTGAAATATGCATCAAAAAATAGTTAAAATATGCTTTAAAAATCAATATTTTAAGTTAAAAACACTAATTTAGCCTTTAATTTTACATTTTAAGAGCACTTCTAAAGAATTTAATGGATTTAAAATTTTTGAAAAAATTTTCGGGAAAAAAATTTTTCCCAAAAAATTTTTCGAAAATATTTTTTCAAAAAATTTTTATAAAAAAATTTTTTGACCAAAAAATTTCAAAATTTTAGTCAATTTTTGGCAAGATTTTACAAAAAATGCCAAAATATGGACCAAAATATGCAAAATTTGCCAAAATATGCACAAATATGCAAATAAGCACGAAATGGTCGAAATATGCAAATATATGCATTAAGAACCGGGTCCTAAAGTGCTCGGACCTATGTAAAAACACCATTTTTAGGCTTCTCACTTCAAGGCATATCCGCATACAAAACATGCATTTGCATGTTTTGGCTGTCCCTAATAATAAGGTAAACGAGTCAAACCTCACTATTATGATACCTTCATATTGCTACACCGCTATTTATTTTATTATACTGGTTGGAGACTGCTGTGCGATATCCTCAGTTAATAATAAACTTCAATTTTCTAGACGCGAGTGTAAAACTCTTATAATGAGTTAGGGTGTCTTTCATTAGGAAAACTTTTATCGTTTATTTGATTATTAGGAAATTTTTTTACAAAAATTTTATTAATTTTCTTCCTTTCTTTATCTTAACTTTAATTTTTTAGATGGCAGGCAGAGCAGGAAGACGCGGTCTAGATTCTACCGGAACTGTTATAATCTTGGCTAAAGGGTCAGAACCTCCTGATATTAGTTCATTAACATCGATTTTAAAAGTAAAAAAATTTTCTAGAAATTAAAAAAAAATTTTTTTTTCAGGGTAAACCAGTCAAACTTGAATCACATTTTCGTATAACTTATAGTATGATGCTTAATCTTTTACGTATTGAAGAATTAAGGATTGAGGTTTATTTTGGAAATTAAAATTATTTTTCTAAAATTATTATAGGATATGCTGTCCAATTCGTATGTGGAAAGTGCTTCTTTACGTATGGTTGTTCAGCGAAAGGAGCGTCTTAAAAAGGTTTCTAAAATTTTTATTTTTTTTAATTATAAAAAAATTTTCAGAATTTTTTATTGGAATTTTTTCGAAAATTTTTCTAGAAATTTTTGATAAATTTTCATCGAAAAAATTTCCTAAATAAATTTTTTGGTACTATGCTTTTATCGGCCCGCATGTTCGCATTCTCCTTTCCTTTTTCTCTCATTAATATAAAAAAATGTTCAAAGGCAAAAAATGAACAGAAAAATATTCTACCAACAAACAAAATTTTTGTAAATGGGCACCAGACCTGGGCGAAACTCAAAATTTTTTTCTGACGAAACGAAACGAAACAAAATTTTTTTAAAATCGTTTCGTTAACGAAACGAAACGAAACAACCAAAATCTTACGAAACGAAACGAAACAAAACGAAACATTTTAATATTCAAAAAATTTTCAAAACTTCATTTATTTCGCAATTATTCGACCTCAAATACTTTATTAGTCGCCTACGATTTATAAATGATTTAGTTTTTGGTTTATTTACAACAATTTGTCCCATAAGCCAGGCCCGTAGCAAGGAAAATTTTCGGGGAAGGGGGGGGGTCAATCATTTTCGAAGCCGAATTTTTGGCGACGCTTTTTTTCAAATAAAATTTAATATTTTTCAAGTAAAATTTTATTTTAAGCGCCGCAGACGAAAAATTTTAAAATTTTGAAAGGCCGTAGGCCAAAAAATTCACTATCTTGCTCCATTGCCTACCCAAATTGTCTCCATATCTCCATTTCGAGAGGAGAGCGATATAAGCTAATGCTTCGCCGGAAGTTCCGGTTCCAGTATTTCCGCAACTCGCAATCCGCAATTTTTAAATTATGATGCGAGTCCGGTAATAGAATTTGTCGTCGATTAAGTAATATGTATATGCGGATTAGGGAGTGGAGTATAAACGGATTTGTAGTATATAAGTAATTGATATCTTCCTTTTTCAGCGCCGCAGGCGAAAATTTTGACAATTTGGGAAGGCCAAGAAGCCGAAATTCTTCTTTTTCAGCGCCGCAGGCGAAAATTTTTTAAATTTTCAATAAAAGATGGTTAATTTTATAGATTTTGGCCTTAGTTTAGGCTTAAAAAATTGTTTCGTTTCGTTGAAAAATCACAGGTGTTTCGTAACGAAACGAAACGAAACAAATTTAAAAGTGTTTCGTAACGAAACGAGACGAAACAGTAAAAATCATACGAAACATACGAAACAACGAAACGAAACGAAACGTTTCGCCCACGTCTGATGGGCACGAAATGAAGTTACACAGGTATACTCATTTACTTATTAGGTTTACTTATTTTTTTTAAAGACGTAGTAAATGGTCAGTTAACCGTTATAAAATGTTGGAAGACGGCTTAGAAGGAAAAGACAAAATTAGCGAACAAACATTTGCGGACATGCTTTCTGATAAACGCATAGTACCAATTTTTTTATTTAGAGAATTTTTTCGATGAAAATTTTTATTAAAAATTTCTAGAAATTTTCCAAAAATTTCCAAAAAATTTTAGAAAATTTTTGGAGAATTTTTTAATTAAGAAAATCTCGCAAAAAATTTTTTTGAAGTTCAAAAAATTTTTTGCGAGATTTTTTTTATAAAATTTCTCTATTTTGGGGACTTGAAAATTTTCAAAAATTCTGAAAAAATTTTTTAAAATTTTCAAAAAAATTTTCGGAAATTTTTTTTTAAATTTTTTTTTATAAAATTCTCTATTTTGGGGACTTGAAAATTTTCAAAAATTTCTTTAAAATAATTTTTTTCCAGCTTGAAGAAAACATTACAGCATTACCTCAATTAGAATGCCCTAATTGCAATCCCCCACCAAACGGAAAAGTGGACACAACATTACTGGGTTATTTCAATTCTCTTATAAATTATTACAAAACAACAAAAGAATTGTGGTCTCTATTAATTTTAAAGGGAAAAGAAGCCAAATTATTTACAATGGGAAGAGTTTTAATTATTCATTATCCACCGCTTGGAATTGCTGGAAGGCTAGCTGTTGTTTTGAGGGTTTTTATTTTTTTTAATTTTTAAATGTTTTTTGGATTTTCGGAAAATTTTGTAATGTTTTCGGAAAATTTCGGAAAATTTTGTAATTTCGAAAAAATTTTTTTTATTTCAAACTTTTCAAATTTTTTGGGCTTTTGAAATTTTTTAAAATTATTTGGAAAAAATTATTTTGGATTTTCAAAAACTATTTTTAAATTTTTTTTTGGAAATTCTTTTGAAATTTCTTTGGTAAAACATTTATCGAGATGTCAAAAAAATTCTCTATTTTGTGAATTTTTGAAAATCTGTAAAAATTTTTTAAAAGAATTTTTTTCCAGCCCAGGCTCGTAGTCAGGGGTAGGGGAAGCCCCCCCTCCTTTTCCCTCCCCGAAAAAAATCCTGGCTACTGGCCTGTTTCAGCTTATTAAATTTTTGATATTTCAAAATTTTTTTTTGAAATTTTCCAAATTAAAAAAATTTTTTTTTGGGCTTTCTGAAATTTTTTAATTTTTTGAAATTTTTCCTTTGAGAATTTTTTTATTTTTTCCAGTCTATTATTGAAAATGGGAGACTTACCTTAACTTTATTTATACCAACTTCAACCACTTCTGCTGCCAATGATGTTAAACTAAAAGCTTTTAATGCTTTAAATAAAGAGGTTTTTTTTTAATTTAATTTATTAAAAAAATTTTTTTCTTTGAGGAAAGACGTTCAAAAGCAGAAATTGGATTGTTAGAACATGCTCTTTTACATGGAATTGATGGATTAGATGTAAAAACATTTTCGGAATATACTCCATATACAATTTTGGAAACAACTTTGGATTGGTATAAATTTAGAATTTTTTTTTGATTTTTTAAAGATTTATGAGAGATTGAAATTAGGGTTGGACATTAACGGCTTATTAACTGGTATTCTCCCCATTAGTTATTAATCCGGCCCGGTCCGAAAGAACGAGTCGGGCATCGAATTTTGGCCCGAAGAAGACTCGGTCGGGCTTGCTTGAAAAATGAGGCCTGAAAAGTGACTCGAACGACGGCCCAACCCGAAAACTGTAACCCTAGTTATTTACCCTGTTGTTGATCTTCGGTTTTTCGGTTCCTTTTAATAAGCTAAAAACACTCGGTTCGGTTAATCATCCAAGTCATTTCTATTAAAAATAAGATATTTTTTTTTGGTTTAAAAATTTTTTTTGAAGAATATCCTTTCAATTAAAAATTCCTTTCAATAAATTTTTCGCTTTTTATCGAAAGAAAATTTTTTCTAAGGATTAAAAAAATTTTTTTTAAATTAATAAAAATTTTCTTTTGTAGTCTATTAGCAGTCTGTAAACGTACAATACCTAAACTCGATGCAGAAGCAATAAATCAAGAATTTCAACGTTCCAAACAACCATCAAATCGGTCAAATTCTCCTGACAGAAATATAAAAAAAATAATTTTTGAATTAAATCAATTATCAGAAAAAATTGTAAAAAATCAAAAAGAGGTAGAAGAAGAAGAAGGAAAAAATGACAAAAAAATAGATGAATTTGTACATATTTTGGGAATGGATTTGGACAAAAAAGAAATAAGTTTAGTTGAAAGTTTGAGGGTAGTTTTGTATCAAAGAAGAGAACTTGTTAATTCAACTGTGTATCCTTGTATTAAATGCCCTGATATTATTGAACATGTTGGTAGTTTTTATTTTAAAATTTAATAATTCTGATTTTTTTAATTAATTTATTCTGATTTTTAATTCTGAAAATTCTGATTTTTTCCTCAAAATTCTGATTTATCATTCAATTCTGGTTTTGTTAATTCTGATTTTTTAAATTTATTCTGATTTTTGGGAACTAAATTCTGATTTTTAATTCTGATTTTTTCCTCAAAATTCTGATTTTTAATTCTGATTTTTCATTCAATTCTGGGTTCTGTTCTGATTTTTATATTAATTTATTCTGATTTTTGGGGCCTAAATTCTGATTCTTAGGTCCAAAAATTCTGATTTTTACTTATTTTCTTTCTCTAAATTCTGATTTTATTGCTGAAAATTCTAGTTATTTATTTTAAAAATTTCTGACTTTTATTCTGATTTTTTTTTAAAATTCTGATTTTAATTCTCAGAATTCTGATTTTTAATTAAAGAATCCTGATTTTTTCCTTCAAAATTCTGATTTTCCTTCTTAAAATTCTTGTTTTTAATCTAAGAATTCTGATTTTTAATTCTCAGATTCTGATTTTTTATTCTGATTTTTCCATTCAATTCTGGTTTTATCCTGATTTTTTCTCAAATTTCTGATTTTTAATTTTGAATTCTGATTTTTATTTAATAATTTCCAGATGAATCTAGTCATAAATAGACGCCAAATGGAACAAAACATACAAACACTCGTTCATCAAACCTCTTCACATTCCATGTCTGAAGAATCAGCAGGCCGTTTAAAAGTTTTAAGAACACTTGGGTACATTGATCGCGAAAATGTGGTTGAATTAAAAGGAAAAATTGCATGTGAAATTAGTAATCAGGTGAGGGAATAATAATTCTGATTTTTAAAATGCAAATTCTGGTTTCTTAAATGCAAATTCTGATTTTTAAAATACAAATTCTGAATTTTAAAAATACAAATTCGGATTTTTAAAATACAAATTCTGACCTTTAGAACAAGGATTCGCAAATTCTGATTTTTAAAATACAAATTCTGATTTTTAATGTTTTTTTCTACAGGAATTATTAATTAGTGAACTAATTCTCGACAACAAATTTCAAGATAGAAGTCCACCAGAAATTGCAGCAATGTTTTCAGCATTTACATGCCAACATGGAAGAAATACTTCTAATAATATTAGAAGACATAATTTAAATTTCAATAAAATAAATCCAAGAAATGGTTCAACTTCACAAAGTACAGAAACCTCAATAAGTAATGAAAGTCAACAACAACAGGAACAAGTTGAAAGAGTGCCTATTGAAATTTTGAGAGAGGTAAAGGAGAGAGATGTTCCCTTCAGACCACATGTTCCCTTCAGACTCATGTTCCCTTCAGTTTTATGTTCCCTTCAGACGACAAACTAGTGTATAAAGAACACCCACATTTCTTCCCTAAGGAACAGCTTGGTCATCCGCAAAAGGTTTTTAACTACATATAAGGCAGCCTATGTTCCCTTCGGACTACAACCTAGTGTGAACGGTCCAAATATCTTAAATCTAATTAAAAATTTATATAATCTAACTTGGTTTTTGGTATGATTCGGCAATTGTTTTCGAGCTGTGAGTCTGTGGTTACCAAAATGAAGATACCATGCTCCCCAATTCTCGAAATTATTCTTTTAAATTTATAGCTAGAAACAGACTTAACTGAAACTGCCATACGTATTGATGACGTCCAAAAAGAATGTGGTGTTTTTAACTCACCGGTGATTGAAGAATTGAAATTTGGATTGATGGAAGTTGTCTATCAATGGGCGAATGGATTGGTGAATTTTTAAAAAAATTTTAAAAAGTGGTCATTTATACATACCTCCCATGTTCCCTTCGGACTACAGACTAATGCGTAAGGGACATGCATCTTAAACATTTTATTCTGATTATAACTTACAAGTTCTGATTTTTAATTCTGATATCGCTCCCATATTTCTTTTCTATTTCTCCCCATGTTTTTTCGGACTACAGACTAGTGCGAAAGGAACAAACATATACATTAATATCTATTTTTTATTCAAAATTCTAATTTAAAATTCTGATTTAAATTCTGATTTTTAGTTCTGATATCGCTCTTTTATTTTTTCTTGATTTCTGCCCATGTTCCCTTCGGACTACAGACTAGTGCGAAAGGAACAAACATTTTTTTTGACTTTTCCCTATGTTCCCTTCGGACTACAGACTAGTGCGAAAGGAACAAACATTTTTTTTGACTTTTCCCTATGTTCCCTTCGAACTACAGACTACTGCGAAAGGAACAAACATTTTTATTTCTTTTCATATTTTAAGGAATTTTCCAAAATAATGCAATTAACTGATGCCCAAGAAGGTATAATTGTAAGATGTATTCAACGTTTGGATGAAGTTTGTAAAGACGTTAAAAAAGGTGCAATGATTATTGGAAACCCTGAACTAGCAGAATTAATGGAAGAAACTAGTAATGCTATTAGACGTGATATTGTTTTTGCAGCAAGTTTATATGTTACAGAGGCTGAGGCGAATGAATAATTTTATTTTTTTAAATTTTATTATCATTTTAAAAAATTTTATTATATAATTGAGAAGAGTTTGTCTGCTATATTTCAAATATTCTATAGACAAGTGGCGGGGGGGGGGGTCTTATAATTGTAAAATGATCGGAATAAGGGTAGAGGTGAATCGGAAATGACGAAGGTGCCGGAAATCTGAACTATCGGAAATGGCTCAAAAGTCGGAAATCCGCCTAAATTTTCGGAAATCGCGAGGAAAAAAACGCCTGAAGTCGGAAATCGGAATTCCGATTCACCTCTGAAGATGGGTAGGGGGACTCCCTTTTCATCTTTCCCAAAGTTTCGTATTTGAGGTGTATCATTGTTAGCCTCTCATCATGTTTTGCTTTTTATTTAAAATCTGTTTTTCGGCACACCTTCCCAGTTTATAAGATATCAATTACACAACCTCATTTAAATAATTTTGTGATTTTATTATGAATTTTATTGCATTTTTTTTCTCTTTATATTATATAAAAATTTTGGTTTCGATATACATATTTAGACTTGATCAGAAAATTTTTAAAAATATCTTTCAAAATTTTGCAAAATTCTGGTGAAAATTTGTCCTACTTTTAATATTATATTTATTTATTTTTTTGTTATATTTATGTTCATTCTTCTATTGTCTCGTCTTTTTTTTATTAAATAAGCTTAAGCCGATTTAGGGCCTGCGCGAATATTATACATTTTTTACATTATTGTACAATACATTTTTTTGAAAAATGTATTCTAATATAAATTGCACAATATGTACTATTTAAATATGTTTTTTCAGTTGCACTATTTATGTATCGGACCTCATTCTTATGTACGGGTTGCCAACCCGTAACCCGAAATGAAAACGCTCCAACCTGAAACCCTTACCCGAAGATTTTTTTGTACCTGCGGCAACACTGTAATGTACCAAAGATTCTATAGCTGGGATGGCACAGGTTTTCCGATACCCACAAATCTGAAACCCAGACAATTTTCGATCCAAAATTCTACCCAACTTTTTCTCTCTATCCGTGATATCTCTGTTGGTATATCTTCAATTTATATTCTTTTAAATTCCATTAAAATTTTACATTTTTTTTCGGGAATAAAATTTATTGTTTTTTATTTGTTTGTAAAAGTATTTAACCTCTCCCTCAATATTCTCTCGAAAAAAACAAATAATTTTTGCGCAACAAACAATATAGTTGTTGTTTTTGTATTGAGGATTACCCCATTATTGTTATAAAATAATGGATGTGTAAATTGAGGGGCAAAACAAGTTTATTTTAATATTTAGTTCAAGGCTTTTTGAGGAAATAGAGCCATTTTATTTTTTTTAAATTGTTTAAAATTGCATCAATCCCCAAATATTTTTTTTTCATTTTCCATTAAACTTGAATTTCAAGTTGGAATTATTTTAATGCCATTTTTTGCCTTTGAAAAATATTTTCATCACCTCGTTGCAATTCTTGTTGTTTATGGTCCTTTTAATTATATTTTATGGATATTTGAGATTTTGTATATTATTCAAAATAAGATATTCTGAAAATTTGGCATTCTTGACTAGTGTTGTCGGTAGAGACCGGAACTGGATCGGGACCCGGTCCCGTTTCTTGGTTTCCCGGTTCTTTTTCCCGGATTTTTTGAAGATGACGGGATGAAACCGGGATCGGAAATTCCCGGTTTTCCCGGTTCCTTGTCCCGACCGGGTTCATTCTACTACAATTTCCCGTTTCCCGATCCCGGCTTTTTCAAAATTCCGGTCTTTATAGTAGTTGTCGGTTCCTGGAAAGTCTTCGGATATCCGGAACCAAACCGAAGAACCTAACCGAAAAATCCTCGGTTCGGTCCAGAATCGACCCGGTCCTTTTTCTCGGAATCGACAACCTTATAACATTTTAAAATATTTTTCTACTCCTAGGTTATCCATCAGTTGCTCAACATACATTTAATCACTTCCTTTCACCCGATGACTTCCGTTATAAAATTGATTCTGAAACCTTTACATTTTTAACAAAATTAGATTTTGAAAATGCCAGGAAATATAAAGAATTAATTGGTAAGGGGTTAAATTTACTTGAATGATAAAATTTTAATTAAGAGGTAAAGTCTAAAAGGAATAGTATTTTGACTCAACAAAGGCATTATAGAGGTGATATACACGGAAAGGCTGCATGGAGGGTAGATAAACTTTCCAGAATTAAAAAAATCCCTTTAAAGAAACGAGGAAATTCAAATCACCCCTCTAATACTCGCCGCTACAATGGAGTTTCAAGTTCAGTCAAAAAATGGAATAATGGACGTATTCCTTATATTCTGGGTTCGGATCAGACATGCACGAAACGTTTCGTTTCGTTTCGTTGTTTCGTTAGTTTCGTTATGTTTTTTCCTGTTTCGTCTCGTTTCGTGACGAAACAGTTTTTAATTTGTTTCGTTTCGTTTTGTTAACGAAACACCTGTGTTTCGCTAACGAAACATTACCCATTTTTTAGCCCAAAAATTCACCCAAAAACTGAAAAATTTTCCTCTTTGGTGATCAAAATTCAAAAAATTTTTGCCTGCGGCGCTGAAATCTGGATTTTAAGCGCCTACGGCGCATAATTTACTACATTTTTTTGAATTTCTCGTTTGATTTTGTTTTTTAATATGCAAAGCTCGAATTCTATGCTAGATTAGGCATATAGAATCGATCTGCCTCTTAACACCAATCAGGGCAGGCGCAAGAGTTTTAATAAAGTTTAGCAACTGATGGCAATGATCATGAATATGGTTGCCTTTTTTCGGGCCTGTTTCTATCGAGTCGGGCCAGCGAATCTTTTCAGGCCAAATATCTTAGACCCGACTCGATCTTTTGGTCCGAGTCTGTCCATTTTGGTAACCCTAATCATGAACGTTGTTATCAACAAAAAATCTGAGTTGAGAAATATCAGCGGGAGCAATGGTGGTATAGGAAATTGGAAGAGTGTAAACGGGATATCGGTGGATTTGGAGGGTTTAAAAAATTTAAAAAAATGTCGGGAATCAGGGACGGGTTTGGGGGATAGTAATTTCCGACAAAGTTAATTCCCGATTTAGGGAATCAGGAAACGGGTCGTCAGGTCCCTGATATACGCATATTCTCAACACATAATTCGATTAAAGTCGATTTGGTGGAATTAAGGCTGATATATGGATTATGGGTCAAACGCGAAAGTTTTGTAGCCTGGGACCACAATTTAAGGCCCACTAAGCTATTAGATCAATTATAGGCCATAACTAGCCTATTAACGTGTCTAAAATCGAATAATTAATAAAATAAAACCGTTTTTATTAAATTTTTTGAAAATTAAAATGTTTCGTTTTGTTTCGTTTCGTTTCGCTAAATTTTTACTGTTTCGTCTCGTTTCGTTAACGAAACGATTTTTAAAAAAATTTGTTTCGTTTCGTTTCGTCTGAAAAAATTTTGGAGTTTCGTGCATGTCTGGTTCGGATTATACACCTAGAGAACGTGCAGTACTTGCTAGGGCTTTTCAGGTGGTTATTCTGATGTTTTATTCTGAAATTGAATGAAATTCTGATTTGAAATTCTGATTTTAGTTTTTGAATTTCTGATTTCCAAAACAAAAATTCTTGACCAATTCTGAAAAATTCTGATTTTTCGATCAGAAATTTTGAAAAATTCTGATTTTCTGATCAGAAATTCTGAAAATTCTGATTTCTGAAATTCTGAAAAATTCTGATTTCTGAAAATAATTCTGATTTTATAAAAAATTCTGATTTTAGAAAAATTCTGATTTTTCAATTCTGATCCTTAAAAACTAAAATTCTGATTTCTATTAAATTCTGATTTTCTTTCATAGGAATACCAGAGCAGAACATGCATTAGATTTGTACCTAAAACAGAAGCTGACGTAGATTTTCTTTATATTGGGAAAATAGACGGGTTTGTAATTATTTACAGCTTAGCTAATCATGCAAAATTTATGCGCGTTTAAAAAGCTGCAATTTAAAAATTTTAAATAAAAAATTTGAAAAGGTGTTATTCTGATGTGGGACGTGCCGGAGGAAGACAAGAATTATCTCTAGATGATGGATGTCTCCATTTGGATACAGTAATCCACGAACTTGTCCGTTTAAAATTTATTTTTTACACTTTTATATTATGGGACGTTTCAGTGCCAAATACAGTAGTCTTTCGAAGGAAGGAGAGACTTGAAATTTCCTTAAAAGGCAAATAGGGAAGAAAAATTCTGATTTTCTATTATAATTGAATATTTTCTGAAATTTATTTCTGGAAATTAGGGAGAAGACCTTCATATTAATAAAGTTAGACCTCGCTCTAAGATACCCTCTAGGCTTGAAATTTTTCGTAACTTATAAAGAGGTATATCTTAAAGAGGGTTAAAAAAAGAGGGTAAAAAAGGGCTAAAGAGGGCTGATTATTAATCATTAAAAATCTTACTTTTATTGAGGTGTATCTTAAATAGAATAGGTGTGCTTGTAATTATTTACAGCTTGGCTAAACAAGCGAAATTTATGTGTGTTTAAAAAGCTGCAATTTAAGTGCAAAATTAATTTCAGCTTATTTAGATGCATTCTGTCGGTTTTTATCACGAACATGAACGTTGGGATAGAGATAATTACCTTATTATTTTATGGCAGAATATTGATAGAGGTGAGAGGAGGACAATAAATTCTCTCAAAAATTAAGTTCAGAAGCTGTAGACCAGTTTGGACGTGTTGACCTCCTCGAAAGCAGCGTTTATGGCCAAAAATATGGTTAGACCCCTTCAAAAATAAAATTTACCAAAATGACATTTTTACCCAAGATTACAATTCAATAATGCACTATGACAGTCTAGCCTTCAGTAGAAACGGGAGAGAGACGTTGGTGGCCAGGGAACCGGAAATGACTAAAGTTGGGAAAGGAAAATTTTTTTAAACGAAAAAATTTAAGGTGATGGGTTCAGCTACAGATTTTAGTCAAACAGAGTAGGTTTTTTGCAATATTTATTTTTTATTTCAATTTTAGTCTGGCCAAAATTAGAGGAATGTATCAATGCGTTGTGAGTTTTTGTAAAAAATAGAATTTGAAAATTTGACGTTTTGAAATGTAGGGCATTTTTGGAAGATGGACATTTTTGAAATTAGGGTATTTTAGGTATTTGACACTGATACCTAACACTTGACATTTTGAAAAAATTAAGATGATGGGTTCACTAGGATATCGACATTTTAAATCCCTCCACTAAAATGTTTAAATTCTGCTTAATATATAAAAATTTAAAAAAGAATTTAACTAAGTTAATATGGGGATAGCATGTTTAGGTTATTTATATAAGTATAGGTTAATTTTTGGGACGGGGTTAATCGTAGTTTAACCCTAATAACCTTAATTATTTTAGGTGGTATAATAACTGAAAATTTTACCCTAACAGAAAATTTTCAAAAAAATTTTTTTTTGCAATTTTCGGATTCTTCGACTTCAACAGACCTCGAATTTACTGGCGAGGATAATTCTCTACAAACTACAGAACCTGCTTTACCTTTATGGCACCCTTTTCCAACGAATTGGTTTTCGCCCTATTTAATGTCTACTAGACCACTTACTGTGACAGCCGGCACTCCTTTAAGACAGCAAACAACGCCTATATTATTTCAAAATAATTTGGAAAATTGGGGCCCTAATAGACTGCCTCAGTGTCCTTTCTGGGCAACATATTGCAATTTTCCCTTATATGGGCGTCTACTACAAGAATTGTGTCCGCAAACTTGCGCAGCAGCATTTCAGAAATCTGCATTTTCTTATTCTAATTTAAGAATGCAAAATCCAATGTTTAATAAGAACGTGAAGAGAAGAAGGAGAAGGTGATACGGTATTTTAATGTTATTGAAAATTTGATACTGGGACATTTTGTATAATTACAAGTGATCGGAGTCTGGTACTGTACCGATGAAATTAAGTTTTCGAGCCAGGCAGACGTTCGATTCATTTTTATTGGGCCGGCCCGACCGAGTCTTTTTCGGGCCAAAATTTAATGCCCGACTTGATCTTTAGGACCGGGCCGGATTGGGCCCCCAACCCTAACCGTATTAACGACTGTCGCTACGGTCCGATCACGAATAATTACCATTTCAAAAATTTACCATTATGACTGTTTACCATTTCGAACTTGACCTTTTTTTGATATTTACCATTTCGAAAATTGACCACTTAATTATTTGCCAATATGAAAATTGAACGAAAAAGATGTAATATTTATTAATATTTTGAAAAGTTGACATTTTGAAATTTGATAATCATTACTATAAGCTTAATAAGTATTATGGTATATCACGTGAATGTTCATTCTTCTTTCTCGTTCTTGTCCCCCTTTTAATTTGAACAGGTCTTCGCCTCCCAATAGGATTATCTGGTCCATATCCCGGTGAACGACCAGCTTTATGTGTATCCTTCTTCGGGCAAGGACAGTAGAGACCATCAGGGCCAGGGGCGCCCTTGTCCCCTGGAGGGCCCTCTTTGCCTGGAAAGCCTTTTCGACCTCTCTTGCCAGGTTCTCCTTTAAAATGTTACTAAAATTTATTTTCCCGCTACCGTATAACCTCCGATTAAACGTTAATTTCGGGCCAGAAAAATGTTCTCTTCGGACTAGAACATGTTCCTTTCAGACTATGGTATGTTCCAAATAAACAAGTAGATGTTCCTTTCAGACTAGAAAGGTGTTCCCTTCAGACTAGAAAGATGTCCCCTTCAGACTAGAAAGATGTTCCCTTCAGACTAGAAAGATGTTCCCTTCAGACTAGAAAGATGTCCCCTTCAGACTAGAAAGATGTTCCCTTCAGACTAGAAAGAGGTTCCCTTCAGACTAGAAAGATGTTACCTTCGAACTATAATTGTTCCCTTATGCCTAGAAGAATGTACCTTCGGACTCGAAAACAAGTATGTATCGGACTAGAAAACGAGTACTTTTCAATTCATCCTTAAAGTGCCCTTACTAATAGAGAGCCTCATTAAGGCAAGACATACAATACTTTAATTACCAACCTGGTGCTCCTCGTGGACCCGCCTCTCCACTTTTTCCTTGAATTAATTTTATAAAATAATTTAGAAATGCTCACACCTTTAATTCCATCCTTTCCCCTTGTGCCTCTTCTACCTCCACGTCCTTGCTTCCCTTTAGGGCCAGGATCTCCTTTCTCTCCAATTATTGCAGCGTTTCCAGGCGTTCCCTTGCTACCCAGCTTTCCTTGAGGTCCTTGACTGCCTGGAGGGCCAGGAGGTCCAACAGGTCCTGAAGGACCGATCTAAGAGAATAATCAGTTTTAGAAGGATTTTTAAAATATATTACCTGCCCATTTCTTCCAGGATTTTCATTTAACCCTTCCAACCCGGGCAATCCCGGCAATCCAGGACTGCCCTGTTCTCCTCCTTCACCCCTTGGACAAATTCGACACTTTCTATTATAATCGTACTGAATAGGCAAGAAATTTCCCGGAAGTCCGGGTTGACCAGGAGGTCCAGGCTTTCCTGAAAATTTTTTATTTTTTAATAGTTGAGGATTTAATTTTGGGTTGGACCACGACCATGGTTAATTCTGACCAGAAACCCGACATTTTTTTTTTGGCTAAACCCCCGAACCTTAATACATACACATTTCAAACCTAACCAAGGACAATTTTGTCGGACCTGACATCGATATTTGCATCCCAGGTAAGCCCCAACCCCTACTTTTCGACTCCGCTGGGTCAAGGTCCAGCTCTAATTTAAAAAAACACCGTCCATTCCATCCGCCCCTGGCGGTCCGCGTTTTCCTGGTTTTCCTGGAGGACATATATTTTCAATATTACAAGTACACAATTCATTCTTTGGAGTATTTATTGGATGAAATCCAAAGCCTGAGTTGGGATATCGTCTTTCTCGAATTCGAAAAGAGTCAATTGAAAGCATTAGATTGTGAATATTCGTCCTTGAAAGTTGCAAAAAATAATCGAAAAACATCACGGTATCATTTAGTGAGATGTAGAGCTTATCACTTTAGAATGACATACCATTGTGTTCCCTTCGGACTATGGCATGTTCCACTTAACAGGAAATATGTTCCCTACGGAATACAAACATGCTCTCTTCAGACTATTCATATGTTCTCTTCGGAATATATGTTTTTTCAGTCAAAAGAAGATGTTCCCTTCGGACTGATGACATATGTTCTCTTCAGACGAGATAAGTTATCCTTATGTTCCCTTCGGACAGATGTTCCCTACGGACTAGAACATGTTCCCTTCGGACTATGGTATGCTTTTTCAGACTATAAAACTGTTCCCTGTGGACCATATGATCCCAACAGTTCTCACCAACCTAATATTCTCTTCATCCTTCTCAAACTCCTCTCTATAATTACTCAAAATTAAATCCACATCTTTAATTTTCTTCAAAACTTTGATTGTAAATTCTAATCCAATTAACAAACCAAAAATCGAAATAACAAGAAAAATATTTAATTTAAAATTAAATTTATTCTGCATTCACAAAAGGATTTTAAAAATAAGAATGAACGTCAGAAAAATGAACGATTAAACGATGATGGATATATTTTATTTTGGTTTAATCTGAAAATTGTTGTCTTTTCTATAAAGCTGTAAATTAATTTTTGTACTTTTATTCGAAGGAAAATATCACAGTAATAAAAAATTTATGGATAGAAAATCTGTAAAATTGACATTATGAAAATTGACAATATAAAAGTTGGCAAGATTTATGAATTATAAAACAATATATTAGTCTTATGTTATTTAGATTAGTCTTATGTTCCCTAAAAAATATTTTGTTCCCTCTTTTTGACTCATTGCCAATGTTCCCTTCGGACTAAATTTGTTTTCCTTAAGCCTGGACAGCTGTTCCCTACGGATCATGTTCCTTTCGGAAAATGGTCCGGAATCTTTGAAAATTCTGCCAGATCAAGTTTGCCGAGTACTAATGATCAAATATATGTCTAGAATTTTTATGGGTTTAAAAGAAATTATCATCAAAAAATATTATGTTCCTTTCGGACTATAATATGTTCTCTTCGGACTATAACCTAGTCTGAAGGCCCAAAATTATTAAATGTCAGATATATTTCTTCCAATTCTACCAATTTTTTTGATATTGTGAAGCATGTATTTTAGCTCTAGCACCAGGGCTGTGCGCCAAAATTTTCGCGTGGCGCGCCAAACGCCAAACGCCAATTTTTTAAATTTTAAAAACACGCCAAACGCCAAACGCCAAAAATCGGCCAAAATCAACGCCAAAACGCCAAACGCCAAACGCCAAACGCCAAAATTTTTAGAGACTATCAAGACTCAAAACCCACTGTTCATCTCATTTTAGCGCCGCAGGCGAAATTTTTTGAATTTTCAAGCTTCCCAGAAGCCAGAATTCATCCTTTTTTACCGCCGGAGCGAAATTTTTGAGAATTTTGGAGGCAAAGAAGCCGAAATTCATCCTTTAAAAAATTTTAAAAATAAGAAATTCATAGAACTCCTTGAGATTAAGGTGGATATGAAGGGATAAAGGGAGTTATGAGTATAACAGAGGTCATGAAGAGAGTAAACGATTGACGGGACTCAAGTTTTACTTCTACCATCTATTAGTTTAAGATAAGGGCTTCCTCCTTTAAGCGCCGCAGGCGTAAATTTTTAAATTTTGGAAGTCCAAGCAGTAGATTTCTTCATTTTTTATGCGCCGCAGGCAAAAATTTTGAGAATTTTGGATGACTGTACGCAGAAAAATTTCCTTTTTCGATCATCCCTTTCTCCATTTATTTAAAAAAATTCCATCATTAGGGGTGTATATTTTTGGCGTTTGGCGCGCCAAAATCGGAAAATCACGCCAAACGCAAAACGCCAAAAATCGGCCAAAATTAACGCCAAAACGCAAAACGCCAAACGCCAAACGCCATGACGCACAGCCCTGTCTAGCACTTAAATTTACTTGTCTTTCAATGATCACAATCTTTGTTTGAATTGTTAATTTACGCCGTAGATATAAAAATAAAGTGACATTGATGAGTGTGTAGAGGGTTTCGCCCTGAAAATTAAGGGGATTATCAAATAAGGCACTATCAAAGAGATTATCTATACTAACTTCAGTCTACTGACTAATATGAGAGTCTTAGAATTATTTTGCGAGTGTACTCTCGTTGATAGCAACTCGCTACCAGGGCTGTGCGTCATGGCGTTTGGCGTTTGGCGTTTTGCGTTTTGGCGTTAATTTTGGCCGATTTTTGGCGTTTTGCGTTTGGCGTGATTTTCCGATTTTGGCGCGCCAAACGCCAAAAATATACACCCCTAATGATGGAATTTTTTTAAATAAATGGAGAAAGGGATGATCGAAAAAGGAAATTTTTCTGCGTACAGTCATCCAAAATTCTCAAAATTTTTGCCTGCGGCGCATAAAAAATGAAGAAATCTACTGCTTGGACTTCCAAAATTTAAAAATTTACGCCTGCGGCGCTTAAAGGAGGAAGCCCTTATCTTAAACTAATAGATGGTAGAAGTAAAACTTGAGTCCCGTCAATCGTTTACTCTCTTCATGACCTCTGTTATACTCATAACTCCCTTTATCCCTTCATATCCACCTTAATCTCAAGGAGTTCTATGAATTTCTTATTTTTAAAATTTTTTAAAGGATGAATTTCGGCTTCTTTGCCTCCAAAATTCTCAAAAATTTCGCTCCGGCGGTAAAAAAGGATGAATTCTGGCTTCTGGGAAGCTTGAAAATTCAAAAAATTTCGCCTGCGGCGCTAAAATGAGATGAACAGTGGGTTTTGAGTCTTGATAGTCTCTAAAAATTTTGGCGTTTGGCGTTTGGCGTTTGGCGTTTTGGCGTTGATT